TTCCTAGACACTAGAGACATATATTCACGTGGAGAAACACCAAACAATCACACCAATGTCCTTTGAAACCACTGAACAAAACATTTTGTTCCTTTAGCTAGTTCTATTTTAACACTGATTTTTTATATTTAATTTGAATTTAATTTAAATTTTGTTTTAATTTATAAACTACCTTGAGCCCCAATTTTAGGGAAATGGCAGGATATAAATAAAATGCATTGTAGAAATCATGGGTCAGGCTGGTGGCTATTTAATTGAGACCAACAACTGCAGAATAAAAAAAGAAAATAATTAAGATATTATGGTTGCTGTGATATTGTGTTTAGCCTTTTCACACAATATTACAGTCCTATATTATGGACATTTGAACTGATCGTTAGCCATGGGTTATTTGGTTACTATTGAGTATCTCCCTTTTACACCACTCTCACACCCGCTGCTGCCATTAACCTTAGTGATTGCCATTGGCCTTATGAGGGAAAGTAATCCATTCTACATACAGCAAGATAATCGTATTCGCAACTTCGATGTGACTCTAAGTGGAACTGATCAAACTGGATTTCAAATGGACTTCCACGACTTGACTTCAGCAACCAGTAGCATTCTGCATTATGGTGATAAGGCAAAGGATAGTTTGGAGACATGAAGATTCCAGAGGAAGTAGAAAGAGTTCCACCACAACCTAGAAAAACAATACAAAGGAAACACTATTCAACCATATTGACCAACATTTCTTCTGCTTCACAGTCCATGCCCAGTAAAACATTATTTAATTGCATCCAATGCCTTCCTGCTGCCTACATAATTTATGCCAACACATGAAGCATACATCCCAATGGGTATACTATGAACATTGATCGCCCTCACTTTTTGTTGTGTGCTTTCAAGTCATTTTCATGTTATGGCAACCCTAAATCTTTTCAGAAAGATATAATGATTCCACTAAATTATAATTTTAATTTTAATTCTAAATCTGATCCCCATTCAGTATGGCCTTAATTTTTTTTTTTGGTCGTGTCAGGAGCGACTTGAGAAACTGCAAGTTGCTTCTGGTGTGAGAGAATTGGTTGTCTCCAAGGACGTTGCCCAGGGGACGCCTGGATGATTTGATTTTTTTATCATCCTTGTGGGAGGCTTCTCACATGTCCCCGCATGAAGAGCTGGAGCTGATAGAGGGAGCTCATCCGCCTCTCCCTGGATTCGAACCTACGACCTGTCGGTCTTCAGTCCTGCTGGCAGAGGAGTTTAACCCACTGCGCCACCGGGGGCTCCATGGCCTTAATTAGAACCAGGGGTTTCCTTTCTCCATTGTTAATAGCTTTGCATCATCATCAAATGTTGCTTGTTGTGAGTGTGTCACTATTCTTAACTTGTGTGTGTCCATATGGTTCTACATATTAAAATACTATATAAACAGCATCACAGTATTTTGGCCATACTATTGATGCCCACTAGAATAGACATTTCAGACATGAAGGATTGAAAACCAAGAATGATCTGTTCACAAGTTGGTGTTTTTTACATGCAAGGAATTATTTCCGATAATCTAGCCATGTATTTCTCTATAAAATTAACATATTGTCCACATTCATAAATTGGACATGTCTGTCAATAGCAAAGACTTACACACACACACACACACACCCAAATATAAAATTTTTGGAATCTCTTTCTGTTTATATAAAAGTAAAAAGTTAAAAGCTTTCTAAGCCTCAAATAAGGGGCATCCCTTACAATAAGGGACATCTGTTAATTCAATGCAGGACAACCTTTCCAAACCCCAAATAAGAAATATTCCTTATAACAGCAGTCAGAAAGCTCCTTGAAGCAAATGATCCACCAGGAAATAAGATCACACAATTGTAGATCTTCCTTTGAAATGAGTTTGACCAGTATAAGTTTGTCTTCATCACCTTGCAGAAAGATGGATGATGCTCAGGACCTCTCCCACCAATCCCTATATGCTGATTAGAAGTGATTCATCTGAGAGATGTTGCCAGTAAAAATTGAGATGCTAGTCTAGATAGTTGTAGGTTTTTTGGGCTGTATGGCCATGTTCTAGAATCATTCTCTCCTGATGTTTCGCCTGCATCTATGGCAGGCATCCTCACAACCTCTGAGGATGCCTGCCATAGATGCAGGTGAAATGTCAGGAGAAAATGCTTCTAGAACATGGCCATACAGCCCAAAAAAGCTATACCAACCCAGTGATTCCAACCATTAAAGCCTTCAACAATACATTAGTCCAGATAAATGTTAAATGATTTAAATTGAACAATTTGATTTTACCTGTTGATGTTCCATCCCAGTAAGCTGAAAATCCACTGTATGAAACATATACATCACTTACAAACTTTATCCATAGTTTGTTGCTATGGGAGATGGTCACAGGAGGCAATGATAAGCCACAGAATTTTCCAATTAAAGGTGATGTCTCATAGCCTCCGTCTCTATAATTGTGGGGGAAGAATATATACGTTCAGAACCATTAAACTTTAGAGAAACTATGTTTTCTAAATATCAGAGTTTTCTTATTTATTACTTCTAAGGCCCACTAGTCTCAAAATTATAATTCAACAATTTTTGATGTAAATACCATAAAAAACCCTATCTAACAGAAACCGACAGCTACACTAAGGACTTCATCACACCTACTGTTGGCTCCAAGGAGATTCACCAGCCTCCATGGTGAATCCAAGGGGCGGTGGAGCAGTCCTGCTGCCCCTCACCTTCATTGCCCATAGCAATGCTTCCCCATCCCATGGGAAAGTGTTGCCATACAGCTTCCCTCTGCGCTGGCCCTGTTGCTGCCTACAGAACACGGGAAATCTCTCATCCTAGGACACTTGCAATATAGTTACTTTATAGAGCCCCCCAAGTGAGTGTGCATCATGTGATGGGCGGTGTGGGGCTACATGGATGAAGTGTGCTGCAAGTGTCCTAGGATGTTTGCGAAGACCCATGTGTTGAAGTCATATATGTGAAGAGTTTTAATATTGATGGAATGAGGTATAAGCAAGTTCTAAGGAATCAATAAGACTCAATTCTCTATAAATTTGATACAAACTATGGAAAAAATATTTTTGGATTATGGCTGCAATTTGGCCATCCTGTCTGTGGGATTCTGGGAAGTATAAAAGAAAACCTCTTCTAAACTCTCATTCGGATTGAGATGTTCATTTCCCACTACAAGTCTGACTTAGAACAGAGAAAAGAAGGTACACAATGCAGAATTCACTGGTGGAATTCAATTCCCAAAGATCTGGTGATAAGCACCATAAATAGCTCCAAAGGGTGTTAAATAAGCTGATGGATGTTAGATCTTGGAGGATTCTAACTCAGAGGCACACTCCATAATTTGCAGGCACAATGTTCCAGTTCCAGTCTTTAGCACCCTCAGCTAAAATAGAGGAGGAAGAAAGATCTGACAAGAGCTTGGAGAACCACAGCTAATTGCAAAAGACAGCTTTGAGTTAAAATGCAAAACAGGAGAAATACTCTGACAGTAGAAAACCATGTCCTTTACGTATACCACCCCACCCTCTAATTTGAGGCAGTAAATGTTCAGATATTGTTATGAAGTCAGCAAAAATAAGCAAGCTTGCCTGAGTTCCACATAATCATTTGAACACGTGGCTCCAGCCTCCAAGGAGAAGCTGGTGAAATGCAGAGCAATCTGTTTGTTGTTCTCTACACGGATCCTGTATATGCAAGTCATTTTGTTGGGATAGTGGTCAGGAAAGTTTGGAGATGTTAACACACCAGAAGCCTCTGTGTATTCATGTGAGCATGCTTGAAAATGGAGAGAAAAAACAAAGCCCCCAGATGATCTATGGTAAATTTTACAAGATATTGGCAATCAATGCTTCATGGAAAATCTTTATAGAATACTTCCGCAACTAACATAAACACACAAAACCCTGTTCTGAATTATTTCTTGTCTCTTCAATTTAAAGCACATAACTTGAAAGTATTATTTTTTTTGGTTAAAATTCTCAGGATCCCCCAGCCAGCAAAGCCACTGAATGTGTGACTAAAGGGATTATGGAAATTCTAGTCCTCTGCCTCCCAAATGTCATCTTTCCAAGTACATTCATCAGGTAAAGTGCATTCATCTAGATCAGTGGTTCTCAAACTGTGGGTCCCCAGATATCTTAGCCTTCAACTCTCAGAAATCCTAACTGATAAACTGGCTGGGATTTCTGGGAGTTGCAGGTCAAAATACCTGGTGACCCACAGGTTGAGAACCACTGATCTAGCTGAAGGTTACTCAAAATCAACTCAAAAAATCTGGATCAATTTATCCAATGGTCAATGTGAATGTTGTAACTTAATTCCTATATTTAAGAAAGAGGAACCATCACCTTCTCTGAATTAATTGGCTTCAGTAGCAGCAGAGATGGTTGGCCCCAAGACAGTATTGGCATTTTTCCTTTCCTTGGAATGAGCCTCAGTGTATCCACAAGTGATATCAAAATCCAAAATTTTGGTCCCTAAACTTACCCTCAATTTATGTATGAGATCAATGTATATATGTCATGCAGGCATTAAAAAAATTGTGTGTTTATTTGCCACTACTAGGAAGCAAATCTATTCTGTGATAAGCAAAAAGGTAGGAGAAGCAGTAGAAATCATGGAAAGGTTACAAATGGAAGGCAATAATGCCTAAATCCCCACAGAATTCTGTGAATGAGCCAAATACGCAACAAAAGCCTAGTCTGGAAGTAGATTTGTTCTTTTGTAACCCAATAAGCTGTTCTTAATAACATACTGTGGTTCAGTTTTTTTTCTTCTCTCAGCCTAAAAGGAGCCACATAAATCCAGACTTTAAAAGTTATCTGTTCTTTGTTGTTCTTCCCCAGATCTCAAAGATGGACCAGGAACCAACAATGGAATAGTTGCCAGCCACACAATGGTAAAAAAAAGATTAAATCCAGATATCCATGAAAATTAAACCTCAACATCCTACTTGGCTGGTCTTCTTCCATGTAAATCCATCCAGCACCATTACAGTAACTGCTTTGTTTGTCTTTTTCCAACTGGAGCAGAAGAAGCTTTCTTGGGTTGTGCAGAATCCAACTACTGGATTAAATTCTTCATATTTTAATTAGGAATTAAGCATGCACACAGGTTCAATTTTGTTATTTGTCACACACACAGACATCCAGGCATTGCCTTATGTCTTGACGTCATTAATAAAAACTTGGAAGAGCTTTGGTTTCCATTCATTTTCAATATATAAATTACATTTTGAAAGAAAGAGCTAAATGTATTAGTACACAAGTTTCTCTGCCAGGGTATAAAGATGGCAAGGTCCATCTGGTTCTGATTCCAGCCAGTCCAAGGAGTCAAGTTGACTCTGACAGAAAAACACAATAAAATTGCTGGAAGCTGAAACATGCAATCAACAGAAGATTTTAAAACACCATTGGTTAAAATACCATTAGTGTTGTATCTTTCTTCTGTGTCATTGTACAAATCAGAACATTAGATCTGGAATATTTCTTCATCTACCATCACACCTTAAATGTATTGAGATTAATCATTAGAAAAGATTATTACTGTAAGGGCCAAATCATTTCTGAGAGCTCTTTAAATTTGATCCCTTACAGGCAAAAATGACCTGCAGATTCTTTCAGTTCAATGTCTTTATAAATGACTTAGATGAAGGCTTAGAAAGTATAATCATCAAGTTTGCAGATGGCACCAAATTGGAGGGATAGCTAATACTCCAGAAGACAGGAAAAGAATTCAAAACAATCTTAACAGATTAGAGAAATTGGCCAAAACAACAAAATGAAGTTCAACAGGGACAAATGCAAGATACTCCACTTAGGCAGAAAAAATGAAATGCAATGATACAGAATGAGGGATGCCTGGTTCAACAGCAGTACATGTGAAAAAGATCTTGGAGTCCTCATGGACAAGTTAAACATGAGCCAACAATGTGATGTGGCAGCTTAAAAAGCCAATGGGTTGTTGGCCTGCATAAATAGGAGTCTAGTGTCTAGATCCAGGGAAGTCATGCTACCCCTCCATTCTGCCTTGGTCAGACCACACCTGGAATACTGTGTCCAATTCTGGGAACTGCAATTGAAGGGAGATGTTGACAAGCTGGAATGTGTCCAGAGGAGGACGACTAAAATGATCAAGGGTCTGGAGAACAAGCTCTATGAGTTAGGCATATTTAGCCTGAAGAAGAAAAGGCTGAGAGGAGACATGATGAGGGCCATGTATAAATATGTGAGGAAAAGCCATAGGGAGGAGGGAGCAAACTTGTTTTCTGCTGCCCTGGAGACTAGGACGCAGAACAATGGCTTCAAACTACAGAAGAAGAGATTCCACTTGAACATTAGGAAGAACTTCCTGACTGTGAGAGCTGTTCAGCAGTGGAACTCTCTGCCCCAGGGTGTGTTGGAGGTTCCTTCTTTGGCAGCTTTTAAGCAGAGTCTGGATAGCCATCTACCATGGGTGCTTTGAATGCAATTTTTCTGCTTCTTGGCAGAGGGTTGGACTGGATGGCCCACCAGATCTCTTCCAACTCTATGATTCTATTATTCTATGTTTATCTCTTTTGTCCTATTATCTGCAACCACCTCCAACTTCTAACTCATCCCACAACTCCTCCAGGAAAAAACATTATCTGCCTTTTTTATTGCCACAAGCAATGGAATCCAATATTGGCACTTGAGGTCCTGCTGTTGCTTGCGCTCAGTCCCATAATTAACTGACTTAATTTTACCAACTCAGAGAAGAGGAGGGACACAAGCACAAAGATCCTTTGTGGGGAAGTTGAAAAGCAAGCTTGTTTAGAAAAAAAAATCAGCCCAGGCATTTCAAACTGAATCTCCATCTGTCTCCAGCTAGAGGTGTGTGCCTTTGCCAAGCACGCCTTTCATGTCCAACCTTTACCCTTTCAAAACCCAGGGCCCAAAGAAGGTCCTCTCTGGTCAAGTTATTATTCACCAGCTGCAGCCCTAATCAGCAGAAGGCTGTCCTGGCATCAATTGCTCATGAACTGATTATGTCTGGATGACATCCATGTAAGCGACTTAGTGTTTCCTAAAGGAACTTTGGGCATGTTAAATTGGAGATGGGAGTTAAATATCTCTGCTTAATTCAACACGTTTGCTTTGATAACTTGAGTAAATGTACACTAATGAGAATGTCTACACACAGAGGGAAATGATTAAGACCTATAAACCAAAAAAAAATTATTTTGAGCAAAGAAATGTAGAATTAAATCCAACCATTAGCCTGCTCTAGTTGGGATTAACAACTGGATTTAAAATGTCGTGCTTAAAATGATTCAGAATATTGATTCAACAATGTTATGAAATACTACTGGATAAGTACTGAAAATAGTTACTTTCTCAATTACAGTGTTCCATATGGTCTTCCACATAGATACTGACCTGAAGTTCCCTCTGCCCATACTCTATTCTCATGGAACCACTGTTACTTTCTCTCCCTTATATCCTGCTTCGTGGAATCCACTCTGAAAATGAATCATCTGCTTATAGAAGCTAGCTGGTGCTTTAAAAAAAGAGTCTTCCCAGTACCCCTACACACATTCTTCACAAAAATAGTTCAGATATTTAGATGCTGACTGTAAATCACAAAATGCAATGTTTAAAACACTGTATTAAAGTTAAAACAAATACCACAAAGGTATTTTTGTAGGAAAGCACTCAGGAAAATATTTCATGAAAAATAAGTCTTTTCAGGCACATTGGGTTTAAGATTACATTTTTTTTTTCAGAAATACGAGGTTGTTAATACAAGAGGACTTCTTACTTTTATTCTATGTATAACAGTTGTGCAACATATCTAATATCGAGCGTGGAACTCCCTCCTCAGGGATATTCGATCAACCCCCTTCCTCCTGACCTTCCACAAGAGAGTGAAAACATGGCTTTGTGCCTAAGCCTTTAGTGAAATTGTGCAATAGAATGACTTGGAACAATGCCCAATGACCATTGGAATGGCCCAGATTAGGCTTGTGGATTATGTGTTTAACTCTGAATGTATTGTTTTAAATGTTTTTAATGTACTTCTTAATTCTATTTTAATACTTATTTAAGTGTACATTGTGCTTTAAGGCTGTATGTCTGTATGTGAAGCTGCCTTGAGTCCCCTCCGGGATGAGAAAGGTGGGGTAGAAATGCCATAAATAAATAAATGAATAAATAAATAAATAAATAAATAAAGACAGAGCAGTAGAATCCAATAAACTAATCTGTCACTTGAGGGAACTGCCTCATTCTGCCTAGTGGTAGGACTGGATTGGGTGTGCAAAACTAGCACAACACTGTTACATGTGAGCAAAACATTTGATAAGAAAAGCCTAACAAGCCCCAGAGGCTACACACATAACACAACCCGTACCAAGTCTACATGAGCCAAATACACAAGACTTACATTTCATCTTATGTAGAGCGGCCTCACAATGCAGAAATCGCTACATCCAGGCATTAATCCAGCAGAAGGTGAAATAGAATTTACTCCAAGCTTTTCACATCTCCAAAACACTGGGATCACTCTGGAGTGACCCTGGTGTTTTGGAGGTGTGGCCAGCAGGCTCATCTGGATCTGACCAATCCAGTGTCCATATATCCAATAGTTCCACCGTTGTGTCATTGACCAAAGTGGCTCCCTCCCTCAACCTGGCCAACCATCTGGATACCAAAACGCCCCTGAGGACACTCCTGGTCTGCACTGGAAGATATGGATACATGAAGATCAAGCTAAGATCTTCAGCAACAGCTGTTCTATAAACTATCCATAGCAACCAATTTAATCAAAATTAATTCTACTACATTATTTCTCATTCGGTTTTTAAAAGGTCCTTAGTAGTATTTTTTATTGATCTGCTATTGACAAGGGAAGATGCAGCAAAATATTAACACTCAGAATTTAAGCAACCTTGATTATTACACTGAAAAAATACTTATGGGAATATTTATCATACCTGTAGATGCATTCAGTGAAATGTAATTAACAGAAAATCCCTCTGAGGCGACATTGTGATTTGTCACAAAATACAACATCAGTGTATTGCCGCCACTGGTCACAGATGGTGGCACTGACCTCCCACAGTACCTGCCATAAATCAGTGATAATTAGCTTATATTAAGTTAAACCCTCTGTGATCACAAATTCCAAATTCAATACTTATACAGTGTTAAATGTATAATAACCTAAGACAAACAAATGTGTAACTTGAATATTTGATGAATGTATTGTATTCAGGAATTAATTTGACAATGTTTAACTGCTTTTCTAGATGTCACACAAATAAGAAAAAGAACAATGGGGCTGCCCTAAAGTTATGCCATTGGCAAGAAGGTCAGAAATGGAAAAATATAACAAAATAAGGATGTGGTATTATAGGTATAATAAATAATACCCATATACATACCGTCCCAGCTTTGTCATAGTGCTATTGTCATAGATTTCAAGGAAATCTCTGTTGCACGTGTAGTCAAATTCCAGATAAAAATGTGTGAAGGTCAGTCTGATTAAGTTACCAGGCTGAACTAAGACAGTCCATGTACATCTGATACCATGTGGGTAAGTAGCCAGGTAGTCTGGAGTTGAAATGGTGCCATCTGGTTCGGTTAGAATTCCTCCACATGCTAAATAGATACATAAGATAGATGACAGAGACAGAGAGACAGACAGATTTAATGTCTTCATTAAATCAGAATAATGCAGTTTTGGTGATAGACATTGTAGAGGTATTATTATTATAGAACAGAAAAATAGTGTCTCATCAAAGGTAAGTGAGTGCGTGTATAAGTTACCCCTCAATTTGTGGTAACCTCATTAATTTCATGGTGTTTTGGGAGAATAAGATTATTCAAAAATGGTTTACCATTGTTCTAAAGCACCTGGAATTCCTTGGTGATCCCCCCCCCCCCATGCAACCAGACCTGAATTTGCTTAGCTTCCAAGATTAGCAGGGATCTGGTGCTTTGAGGGTATTCATGCTCTTGCCAAAGCTGAAACTCCCAATTGGATGACACTCAGCAATCTTTCTGTACTATCTCTTGTTTCATTTTGGATGGTCTCATCATGGCCTGGTTATCCTGGTTGAATTGCCCATTAAAATTGGTGTCATCAGATATGCCAAAAATGGCGGAAGGGGGCTAAAAGTAGCCAGAAGGACTCTTCTGGTTTGCAAACATTAATATTTTGTGCTAAGGAGTATAATGAGCCTTGCGACCTATTTCAACCTTTTTAACAAGACAAAGCATCAGTTAAGGAGATCATAAGCCACAAAAATACTTTTGGAGGCTGTGTGCACATTTTAACTACACAGACATATCGATATAGGGAAAGCCATCTTTACAGATACCAATGTCCCAAGTAATTTAGAGAAATTGTTTGCTCTGTGAATTTAGCATGGAAAGAAACAGAAGTAATCCAGCTCTTTTAGAACTGGAGTTACAACAGTTCTCAGCTGCTTTCCCCAGCAAGCTTCTGACAGGTGCTTTGCCCAACACTTGTAATTTCCAAATTGTTTTCCAAGGACAACACAATTTAAAGCATATAACAGATATTCAATCAAGAATATGAGTCACATTGGCTAATCCAGGTCTGTACAGAATATCTTGTAGCTGTCAGGCAAGTCAAGATGGGGCAAAGGGACTTTGTGCCACTGAAGTCATCAGTGACACGGTTGGTCAACATATACCTCGATAATGCACCAGTCCTTTCTGGAGAAGAGCATCGGTTGATCTATCTATTCTTCTACATACCTACCTACCAGTCTATGACTGTATAAGGGTACAGTCATAGACTGGGTAGAAATACAGGGGGGAGGGGAGATTTCTGCCAATGACTTTCCTTATGAGGGATCATGTCTATATAAAGTGATTCATTATTACTTCAACCCCATTATAGTGATGGCAGTGGTAGCATTTACCTGCATCAAAAAGCTTGTATTCAGCAAGAAAGCCAAGATTTGCTGTAGACGAAGTTCTGAATTTCACATAAGCATTGTTATATGTAGACTGAACTATTGATGGTACAGTCGAACCACAATATTTCCCCAGTAAAGGTGATCTCGCATTGTCACCATCTCTGACCTACGGAGAAAACATTTTAAAAACTGCATGTTCTTACATTTCTTACATTTATATCCTCTGACAATACAAAGTTGTCATTTCAAGTTATCTTGTTTTCTCATTTTTGTATCTTTGCTTTGGCTAATTTTCACATCCATTTGAGTTTTGTTTGTTTTTTAAAAAAAAGGCCTATCCAAAAAATGTACATGAATTTTTGCGCATTTCTCTTAATATGTATTTTTACAAAATGTTCACATTTTACCAGCAATTTGTTCCTGTGCAATTCACGTTTTGGAAGTTATTTTAGTAATGTGCCTATTTACCCCTAAAACATATTTATTTTGTCATTTTTGAGATTAGGAGCTACATCAGGGAATTTGGAGAATATTGAAAGATAACTATTTCTATTTAAATAATTGCTTAGAAAACTGAAACTTGGTGTGTTTGTAGTAACATGCAAGTCAATGTATCCTTCGAGAAATCATGCAGGTCCAGGAACCCACTTAATGGCATGAATGGGAAGGCACTAAATGTAGCCCAGCTGGTTTGCCACATGCTGAAATATATTAGTTAGGATTGAAATATTTCAGTATGTGTGTGTATTCATTAATATCTTGACAACCATAGCCATTTCCTTGCCAACCTGCACATATGGAGAGATACATTAGGTAAAGGTAAAGGTTTCCCCTTGACATTAAGTCTAGTCGAATCCGACTCTGGGAGGTGGTACTCATCTCCATTTCTAAGCCAAAGAGCCGACGTTGTCCGTAGACATCTCCTAGGTCATGTGGCCAACATGACTGCATGGAGCGCCGTTACCTTCCCACTGGCATGATACCTATTTATCTACTCACATTTGCATGTTTTTGAACTGCTAGGTTAGCAGAAGCTGGAGCTATCAACAGGAGCTCACTCCATCTCACAGATTTGAACTGCCAACCTTCTGGTCAACAAGTTCAGCAACTCAGCGGTTTAACCCATTGCACCACCACGGCCCCTGTATTAAGCATAGATGCATGCAAATAATCTTATTTCCAGGGACTTATTTCCAGATAAGAATGCTTAAATGTGCATCCTGAGTTTAACAATATAATGGGATCCAAAGGTTTCTATACATACAGAGATTTAATCTGTAAGACATATATTAAAACAGTCTTTACCTCAACATAATCTGAGGCACAGAGTATATTACTACGGATGCGGAAGTCGGTGAAATTAAGAACCACACGATTGCCTGCTGGTTGGGAGATGATCCACTCACAGATCTTTTCATGAGACAGTGGCCTGTTGAAATAGGGGGACCGGATGACTCCGTCGCCAGACAAGGCCCCGCCACAGGCTGCCAAGGGAAAGGGAGAATTGGCTGTTAATCAAAAAAGCATCCAGCTTCTGCATAAAAATGCTACAAAATAAACAGTTTAAAGAGGTTCATTACGAATTCTCTCCATAATATGTATTCTTGATATAAAGTCACTGAAGAAAATAAGACTGTTTAAAGTGATGCATCACTTTGGTGTGAAAGTCCCTCCTATGAAGAGGAAGCCCCTTCCCACAATGCCAGCTAATAGAAAAGAACCTCTCTTTTATATTCTAGCAGATGAGTATTGAGAAGACGATGTAGGGAACCAGCAGATGATGAGTAGCCTGCTGAGGAAACTCAATAAAACAGAAGAAATAGAGCACTCCCTCCAACATTTCACAGATGAAATCTGAGACATGTATAGCCAGGAAACATTAGAGTGTGGTTAAGATGCAGAAAATTTATAATGAAAAGAAAACGTGATCTAGGAGACCCTGTAGAAGTTGACTTTTGGAACATTTTAAAAGCGCCTGTAAAATGGGATGGCACAGGTTTAATCAGGACTGCCCCTGATAAAACCAAGCAGTAGAGAGTATGTGTTTTCACTTTATTTTCTCTTCTCCCCACTGATTTTTTAAAATTACAGAATGCAGGATGTAGTGATAGCCATCACCTTGGAGGGATTTAGAAAGGTATAAGAAAAACCAGTTGTTTCCAAAGATGGAAAGCAAGGCATTAGGTAGCATTTTCTCTTACCGACGTCATAAACAGCTCTGAAGCTTGATCTCTGGGAAGAGGTATCAGACTTGAACTTGATCCAGAGGCTGTTGCTATTAGATGCAACAGCAGAAGGAAGTGTGCTGTTACAGAACTTGCCAATTAAGGGAGATGTCTCAGAGGCACCGTCTCGGACCTAAGGTACAGAAGAGAATGAGAACATACAATTTTTACATTAAACTACAGTGGAATACAGCCCAGACAGTACTCATTAAAGCAAAGATACAATAGGAAAACTTTTTTTTTTAGCATGAGAGCTGCATTCATTTGTAGCTAAACTTTTGGGACCACCCAAACATACCTAAGTATTCTAAAGGTATCAGATCCTGTCAAATCTAGGAAGTGAAGCAGTGTCTGCCTTGGTTAGGACTTGGATGGGTGTCATCCAAAGAATATTAGGTGCTGTGGACTATAGTTCAGAAGAATGGACTGGCAAAACCATCTCTTAGTTTTCCTTACCTGAGAAAACCCCATGAAATTCAAGGGGTTTCATAACTTGATAAACATCTAAGTCAGGCATGCATGCACACACATAATTAATGAATAAGTACCACAGATAGATCAAAACAAGCAGATAAATAGAATCAAACTGGAGTGGTGGATGTGCCATGTAAGGAGCACAGACGCATCAAAACATTTTATACTTCCTGGACTTGACCCACTGGGAACAAGATAAAGATCTTACTGAATGAACCCAAATTGGTTCTACTCAATGCAAATAGTTTTGTTCCTCTTGCAACTGTGAATTTTATTGCAGGCTTGCCAGCAATTAGGAAGTTATGAGAACCAAATAAATAAAAGCTGTCTGTTTTCATTACACATCGGGCTTTCTCTCTGAATTTGGAAATTAATTAAACTTTGTTCCAGCCATTGTCGTAGGAAGCAAGCAAGCAACAGTGATGTATGTTATTACAGTAACAGACCTTCTGTAACTAAAACTGGAGACACAGTTTAGTTTATATTAAAGATATTTTACAGGAACCTTTTACTGTCTCTCTTGAAAAGGAAAGTTTCAAACTAAATAAAGATATATGAATCACATAATACATTCACAATGGTCAAAATCCAAAGTCTTTCAGGCCACAACCTTCTCACATATACTGCACCTGCCCTCTAAACTATTCACTCTTCTCAGTTTGGTAGAGAGGTCTGAAGGCTTCTGCTCTGTCCTTATAGATGACAGACTTTTATAATACTCAATCCAATTGAGAGTCCTGAATTATTAGATGTCCCAACTAGACAGTTTTATCCTTAAATTTGGGCCAATGCAAGAAGCGACTTCTCAGTCAACACACAGAAATTGGTGACACCAGGTGGAGGGATTACATTCAATGCCTGATCCAACTTGGGTCTACTCCTTACAGTCTCATCAGGGATGGTTAAAGACTGGAATTAATATGTTGTTTCCATTAGACAAAAGTCGTTACCAAATAAGAAAATGATTTTTTGAAAAATCACCTCAATGTAATTCCAAGGGCAACCAGGACGGCCTTCCAGCTCCATGTGGGTAAAATTGAGATATATTTTTTCAGCAGGAGGTTGCTGGATGATGTAGATGCACTGTCTGTTGTTAAGGTAAGAGTTTGGCCAGTAGGGAGACATGATAACCCCAGTACTGTCTGTATAGTTTCCGCCACAGTTGGGATCCACTACATGAATAGAAAAATGAAATGGTTACTCAAGTGTGTCAAATGCTACATAATGAAGTGGTTCACTCCATAAAGGGCTATGATTGAGGGATCTTTGTTTATTTCATTCTGACATACAAGAATGGGTGGTTTCAACAGTTTTCTCCCCACTGTATGAAAACTGGTTTTTGCACAGTTTTTGGTTGCTACTGACATTTTGAGCATTAAAAAATAATAATTTGCACAGCAAAAATATGCACAAAAATATTTGGCCACATTTTTAGGGAGGGAAAATTTTATTTTGTGAATAGTTTCTTGAACAGAGTTGCTTATATTCATTCATTCATTCATTCATTCATTCATTGCATTTTTATGCTGTTTTTCTTCTCAGAGAGTGATTCAAGTCAGCATACATATGTAACATATGTGTACAAATTACACTTGTTACACATGATACAAGTTTTGACCACAAAACATACTTTTCACACACAAAACAAAAAAAATAGTTTTTGGGGGAAATGCTAAAATACAGTTACTGAATACTTTACATTTCACAGTGAAGTGTTTCGATTTGTTGATATCTATTTCCTTTCTTGAGAAAAAAATTTAAGTATTCTTTTACATACTTGTTATGACTATAACAGGGCTTGGGGGAGTTCCTTTTGGGGCTGCAGCTCCTAGAAATCTCCAGGGATCACAACAGTCATTCAAAAAAAGCAAATTTTCCAAGCTCTGAACTCTAAACGTATAATGCATGCATAAACATACTCACTAGGAGAACTTGTGTATGTAATATGGAAGCCTCTATCAGTCCCAAAACCATCAGAGTGGAAGTGAACCCAGGCATATGGGCCAGTGGTTTGAAGCGGAGGAGGCAACCTAGTGCTGCAGTATCTTCCAAGAAGTTGATCTTCCGGGAGAAGGCCGTCTCGAATCTAAATCCACATATTTATATGAAATTACTCATGCACTCCATTTGTAAGTATATCAAATATGCTTGTATCTGTACATTTTAAAGCAGTTGTATGGATTTTAATTGTTGATTTTTTAATACTGCTGATGTTTAACTATGTTTTAATGTTTGCTTATTTATGGATTTTAAATTGTATTGAAATGTTTTTAATGTGAACTGCTTTGACTCTCCTTTGTGGAGAGAAAAAGCAGGGTATAAATAAACACAATAACAACAGCAACAACAATAGCAAATACTTTTTACTTGGCTTTCTTATTCCTGCAATGTTTTAAATTATTGAATTTCTACAATAAGCCTACATCAGCTTCTTGTTGCTGCTATACTGACAGTGTTTTACATTTACTTTTTGTCTAGCATTTATCCCATAAGTATATTTAGAAAAGGAAAGGGCCTTGGTACTACACACATATACACAAGGACAGAGACTTTTGGAAAAGTATGTTTTTACTGCAGAGTTAGTTTTATTCAGAAAAGAGTAGGATACATATAAAGTTAATGTGGAAGTAGGGAGGAGATTGTTGCTTCTCATTAACTCTTGGTGGGTTTTGTGCATACAGAAAACCCCATTATCTGTGGGGGATACATTCCTGAACTTCCTGTGTGAACAGAATGCAAGCAAACCCTATTGAATAAAGGATGGCAAAATTAAGTTATACTTGTTGGTGATTTGGGGTGTGGAGTGGGGGTGAAATTGGTTGTTACTGAGTTTTTTTGCTTTTTAAAATAGTTGCTTGGTTGTAATTCAATTATGTGGGCAATATATAGTTGTGTTGTTTGAGTAGTTTTACATATCTAAAAAGTTTATTTTATATTTATTTTGTATACTTCTTCAATAAAATTAACCTACACTATAAGTATATAGATGTGTGATCAGAAAGTTAAATCTTCTGTAACCATTTGTGTTATGCAAACCTACAACTAGTAACTTTTAAATGTCATGGTAACAGCTTTCTTTGTCAAACAGGTTTTACCTCCAGATAGTCATGGCTACAGTTATCATGGTGTTCAAGGCTCAATGTACCAAAGGCAAATGTGATGAACAGACCAGGATTTGTTGAGATGACCCAGTAGCAATCTCTATTGGGAGGATAGTTGCTAGGATAACCAGGTGAGTTAATTGATCCATAAGAGTCAGTCAACTCATCACCACACTCTAGAGAGAGAGAGAGAGAGAGAGAGAGAGAAACTCTACTTAACTAATTTACTTTTTCACCAAAGGTCAATGATAAGTATATTGATGTATCTTTAGGATCCTTGTTCCTGATACATGTAAGTTTCCAGGGCAATCAAAATCCTTGGTAAGTGCTTAGTTCACCTGGAAAATTGTGTGTTCCAGTATTGTTTCTTTCTTGTTCCTCTGTGTCTTTAATATAATTCTGACTTAGGACAACCCTAAGATACGTCTGATTTAGGAGCTTAAAATGGAGAAAGAGTAATCTGACTCCCAGAGGAAGTATGGGAAGGAAAGAAAACCTGGTTGTTGTGATTGTGCTGTAGTTCAAACAAAATGGTTGTCTATTTCAAGAAGCCCATGACTTCTACTTGTTGCATAGCTAAATATAGTCTAATAACCTTTTTTAGATGTGGAATTACTTTACAACCCTCTGTAGTATAGATATACCCCAAGTTTACGTACTTTGCTCTTGACCCTTTCAAATAGAACCTAAAGATAAATGGCATTTAAGGAGTAAAATTCCTGTTCTTAAGGCTACTCCAAGACATTCTGATAAAGATCAGGGACAAGACGGCACCTCCTTTCATTCTATGTACAAAAGGTGACTAGATTAGGTAGTTGAAAGGCAAGAGACAGTGTTCTCTATTATCTTTAAGCTAGCTTTGGAAGCAAAACGAAGGTAATATGATATGCAGATTTTACACACCTCAGGATCTGCTTTATGAACCTGTCTGGTTGGTCATTCTGGCTATTAGGAGGGAGGGTAGGGGACCAACTTGCCTGTCATGTACATTGAATCTTACCAGGCTGCTGAGACTCCCAGCGAACTCTAAACCCTCTTCCATTAGTCAAACGGTCAGAATGGAATGAAAAATACAAAGAGTTGTGACTGCTAAAGAGCTCTTCTGGGTGAGATGATCCACAGTATTTCCCCAACAGGTTTGCTGAAGTTGACTCGCCATCATGAATCTGGAGAAAATCAAATCTGCAGTTGACGCTTTCCTCCAGTTGGAAGAATGGGAACGTGATATGCAAGATCTAAGGGGGAAAGAACAGATCCATTTAATTTGCATGTTTTCATTCCCATGGGAAAGTCTCAGCTAAAGGATGATTAGATGTTGTTTATACAGTCCAGCTCTGCAGATTAGATAAGACACCTGTCCACACAAGTGCATGTTTGCCAGACAAATGCAGAGATGTCTTTATAATTTCCTTAGAAACTCCACAGCAGACTGAAGGATTAGCTAATGCCCAAGTTCAAGGAAACGGGAAAGAGATACAGAAAAATCTCTCATCAAACTCTGTAGTTGAACAGTAGAATCACACTGCAGACAGTCTTTTATTATTTTAGTAAACGGATAGATCTTGGGTTTCTTATTAACTCATTTCAATATCCTGAAGAACAAAAGACAAATCGCAGCCTAGCAGATGTTGGAATAATAATTGTATCAGCCCCAGTCAACAAAGGCAAATGTTGAAGTTATGTTCCAAAATTATCTGGAGGGCTGTATATTGCCCATTAACTATATTCACTTTGGAGACCTGTATTCAAAATTTTCCTCCCACAAATATAGGTCACAGTGGTCTCTTACAGGGTTTTTTATAGGTAAATAAACATGGATGACTAAAATTGTGTCTATTTGAAAATACATTAAAATAATTTTAGTCAAAGGAGGAAATATATCTAAAATGTTTACACAGAGAAAAAATGTGTTTAAAATTTACATATTAGAAATCAGGCATAGCAACACATACATAAACCAATTCAAGAAGTGGAATAAAAGATCTCATAACGGGTTACAGATTGGATGGAATGAGAATGCTAATGGGGAGGATTCGGAGAAACATGATGAAAATAAAACTGATTTTCTTGTCTCTGGTACCATCAGTTAGTTCATATATGTTCTCCTTTATCCTAAAATAGGGTTGTTTATCTGCCCAATGAATCCACATTTCTATAGCTGTCAGCTGAATTGATATAATATCAAGGGTCAGGCAGCAAAACAACCCAACACTATCAAAGCATAAGATACAATTTTAACCTGTTCTTTTACTGACACAGCACATCTGTCTGCCTTACATATTTGTGTGCTTACAAACACACTTTCTTTCGAACTCTTACCTTGTTATAATCAGTCCGAATAACCCAATTACAGGTGACCTCTTGGTTAGATTGCTCTGTGCTTGGGTTGTTAGGGTAGCTGAACGATCCAGAGAGGCCTGAAAGTGACTCTCCACAGGCTGCAAGTGAGGAAGAGAAGGGGTGTATTAATTCTGGGCATTTCTTTATGGCCTCAAAAAATCTGGAACAATATACAATTGGGCATCCACATTTATAGATTTTGCACCCTCAGTTTTGATTATTCATGAACTTGTGTCAATGCCCCTGCTTCCCAAAGTTGGGGTTGCCATGTGATTATAGATGGTAGCCCCATCCTATGAACATAGCCAGGCATGCCATATGTTTCTGTTTCACCGAGTATCCCCCCCTTTTTTTCTTTGTTTAAGGTTAAATGGACACTCACAGCATACAGGAAGAGAAGGACCAAATACCATATGGCAGTTCACTAACCTTGAAAAAAGTGAATTTTAAAAATGTTACTTTTTAAACCTGTGAGAACACCTCTTTATAAATCTCCATGTCATCCAGTGTGGCTCTACAGCTAACTTCCACTTGAAGTGGACCACAGAGTTCTGCTGGAAGACCTACAAACGCCTGGAGAGACTCTCAAAGCCCTTCTGCACAACTCCATGTGAAGTCTTGGCTCTGCCTTCTCCTCTCCTCTGCTTTAGTTCCCCCTGTTTATAGGCCTTCCCAATAGTGTAGAGACCTTCCTTTGTATTAGTTTTTGGGTGGTGCTTAAAATCGCCCCACAGCTCAGTCTTAGTTGGTCTATTCCATTTCCCTGTATAGAGCTCTCTCCTTTTTCTGGACTCCTCCTTTTTCTACAGTCATTAGAGGCTTGGGCCTAGGATTGTCCAAAAACAGGCATTCTTAGCACCTGCTGCATTAAGCAGTATTTTTACACCAACAGTCCACAGGACAACAGAAGCTTTTGGCCAGCCTAAGCTTCACAAGAGAGAAGATTAAGACAGTTTGTAAATTTGTAAACAACAACTTATAATCCATCGCTTTGCACCAGAGGCAAGAGAGACTTTCAAAGACCCCAGAAAGATGCAACCAGCAAGATCTCCTTTTGTAATGTATTGTTTTAAGTTACTTTATGATAATTCCGGGTGGAGTTAACCCTTTATTCATCTTGTTTCAGTAAACTCATTTGGTTATCTTTTCACCTTGCCCAGACTGCCTCTGTCTGCTAAGGGTCTTAATCTTAACAGAAGGTATATATATAGCCCCCGAGTAAAGCCAGACAGTGTAGTTTTCCCAAAGGCTCAGGCGTGCCATCATACCATGGTCAGCTTCCTAGAGAACATATTAATCAAATCTGCGAATAATCAAACCTGCACCCTGCTGCTAGACCTTTGGATGTCTTATACTGTGCCATTCCTTTACCTTGTTGGGATGTCTGGCACTGGGGGCCAGTCCATGAGCTTGTACATTCACAGGAATAGCCATTCACCCTATCAGTGCAGGTTCCTCCATGCTGACAAGGATTGCTGGCACAATCATCAATGTTTTCTGTGCAGTTGGCCCCAGTCCAGCCAGGATCACACACACAGTTGTGACCAGAGATTGTAACCTGAAGACATACACCCAGACAAAGCAAAGGATCAGTACATACATATACATCAACCAGCACCAAAAACTAGCATGTGATGCTGAGGTGCCAGGCTGATGATGCCGGCCTTCCTATTAAACAGAGTAAAGCAACTGCCTCAAGCAGTAGGTTTTGGATGCAATGAGAAGTCAATAAATCATTAGTTGTTCCTCATTGTTGTATTTTTATCACAAGCCAGAAGGAGAGACTTGGATAAATTTTTTGTTACAAGGCCAAAAATAGTTTTATTGGCCTTGGTGCTAAGTGCCTGAATTTCGGTATGAATTAGGAACATTTTGCTCTGGCTCAGGTAATAAAATGTGTTGTAACACCTCTGTTCTTTTTCATAGTTCATGGATTTCCTGTTTTCGCTAAGATTTGTCTTGTGAAATATTAGTGCAAATGAATTCAATATACAGGATTACACCATTAAGCTCATATACATTTGACTATAAATCAAATCCGGGGAGTGGGGTGAGCTCCTGACCTTGGAGGTGTCTGCGGACAATAACAGCTCTTCAGCTTAGAAATGGAGATGAGCACCACCCCCAGAGTCGGACACAACTACACTTAATGTCAAGGGGAAACCTTTACCTTTTACAGTTATTACAGCAAGTATGTGATGACTGGACCTACTGGGTATTTTATTAGAAGCTTATGTGAAGCAAAAAAAACCCTTCATTTTAAAAGAAGGCCTAGCATCAAACACTTACAAGGCACTGCCCATTAACACAAGGATTTTGGGTTTGGCATATATTACTCAGTGCAACACATCCATTTGGGCCATAGCCGCTCCCAGTATATCTATCCGGGCAGATACAAATAGGTATAAGCCCTGCAAAAAGAAGAGTCAAGTTAATGAAAGTGATTGATGTGACCACAATTTAGCATTCATTAGTTGGAGAGCACTGGCCCTACCGTTAGGTAGGGACAATCATCTCAAGTGGTTGGTGTTGAGTGTGTTTTCCTCTGAGATTGCTGTGAACCACACAGTGTGCTGCATTCCCTCATCCCAGATTATCCTGCTTCCTTCGGGTGTAGAGAAGGATAGTGTCTCGTTGTCCATGAGAAGGAATTCATCTCACAGGTTTATAAGTATTTTTACATTGAATATACTACACCCTAGAGAACAAACTGTCCTAAGACACTCCTGATTTTAACTTTGAGTTGAAGTGTTGAAATTAAAGTGTACTTCTATGGGCACAATAACGTTTTATACTCAAGCCTCATGCAGCAAAATGTTTGGAGCCAATCTTCACTTCATTCCATCATAAGGCAAATTGTTGTGGTTATTCATTTTCAGGGACAGTGATTACCTGGTGTGCTGGTACATGTCGCAAGTGAATGGCAGCCTCCATTGCTGATTGAGCAAATGTTAACTGGGGTGCATATTTTCCCATCACCTTCGTAGCCTGTTTTAAACAAAGCAGTTGAGATTATCAAGCTTTGGGCACATCATGTGACAGGGACATGAGGAGGAAACGCCCCACAGTCTTGCTACACAGATCTTTTTAGAAAAGATGACAGTAATGAGAGAAGCCATCCCTTTGCCAGAGGCAAATTCTTTTCCAGCTTTTTTCTGCCTAAGAAGTTTGGCTTGGACTGCGCTGATATCAGCACAAACCATCTCATATAATAATCTAGCGTATAACTCAGCATGAATGGTGGTGATCAGAACCAAGTCTTATGACCTTGACTGTATCAACTGCTCCACTTTGTTCTTCTTTTTCTGGATCTCAGCCACATAAGAACCCAAGATATAATACTGCTGTAGAAGTATTTTAAAAATCCCTCTTTCAAAAATGATAAACACACCCAGAATCCCTCAACCAGCAGAGAAGTGTAGAAACAAAACTAAGTAGGGGGAGTGTGGGAATAACTATTCACTGACAAGGAAGATAAACTGCTGGGAATAAGTATCCTCTGGCAAGAGAGATAAAATTATTATAAGCTGCTTCAGAAATGAAATGTGCATTTCCCTTTTAAAAAAAGTATTGGTAATTCATATGACTCATGCAAGCAAGAAATCACATTTTGGGACTGAGCAATCATACCAACTCTGAGTAAAGAAACAACCGTGGAAAATGGCACCCAAATAAGACCTTGGAGAGCTGCATCTCCTGCAAATAGATACTCACAAATGCCCCCAAATATCCACTACAGAAGCTATGGGGGAATTTTAGCTTTAGCCCCAAGGGAGTTGTTTTTGACAGCAAAAAGTGACCCAAAATTGACTTTAGCCACATCAAGGGAAGAGTTGATTCACAAGAAAAGACAAAGCTTGGTAAAATGGAAAGCATAGTAGGGAAAAAGGAAGACCGCATTCCAGATAGATAGACTCAATCCAGGAAGTACCACCCTGAGTTTGCAAGACATGAGCAGAGCAGTTTAGGATATGTTGATTTCGAGGTCTCTCATTCATAGGTTCACCACAAGTCAAAGTTGGCTTGAAGGCAAGGGGATTTCAGGGAGCCACCAAAGCAATCCTGGGTACTGCATGTGGCCTGCAAGTCATACATTTGTCTCTTAAGGCTTAGGAGAGCAATAGGTCTGGGGCATAGCCTCATTCAGATGAGAACATGTCTGAAAATCCCAGTTCCCCTGACCATGACCACACTTGTGACTCTGGATAGGCAACCATATTTTATGATCAAGAAACAGTATCTTGTAATAGTAATGGGGTTCATTTAGCATAAAATGTTACATGAGTATATATATGTGTGTGTGTATGTGTACATATATATATGTGTGTGTGTGTGTGTGTGTGTGTGTGTGTATGTATTGTTTAATTTATATGCCATCTTTTCCCCAGAGATGGCTCATAAAATGAATAAACTATAACCTGAGAACAAGACCCAACACATACCTCTGATGCATTCCTGGTAGCATTGCTGCACTGACAGTTCTCAGTTTCTTATAACAGAAAGGAGGAGTTTATAATATGTTATTTTGGAAACCAAAAGTACAGGTGTATATGAACTAATTTTATTTACTCAAAGACAGTCCCCAGCATTTCCATGCTACTATGAGCTATGGCAAGTATAGAAGGATGCGCTACTAGCCATTCAGGGTTTTCTTCCCCCTTTTCTTTTTGGTCATGTTAACCACTTTGGGGAGTTTGCTTAGAACACTGTTATATTGATGTGTTTTCAACAGGTACAAGGCCAAATGTTTTGGAAAATAAGAAAAAAAGAAGAAGCTGCAAATAACAGAGCAAGAGAGCCCATTGTTTACCTGGGGGGCAGTGATTGCAGTAGAAGGATCCCATTGTATTGATGCACTGAACTAGTGGGGCAACTGAGCAACCTCCATTGTCACTCTCACATTCATTAATATCTTGACAACTGTAGCCATTTCCTTGCCAACCTGCAGATATGGAGAGATACATAGAAGAAGCATAATAGAAAACGAGACTTTGGGCAGTTGGAATAGGGAAGGAGACTTTCTATATGTAAAATACTCAAAATCCTTTTGTACTTTACCCAGATAAATGTTTTTATATCCACAAAAGCTCAAACAAAAATAAAAAAAACAGATAGTCTTACTGCTGCAACATTTTTTTCTGTTTTCCTCCCTGTCATTTCCTACACATACACACATTACTTTAAAAGAAAAACAAATACAGTCATCCCATTACATTTGTGGTGTTGACTTTTGTGGATTTAGTTTTTCATTGGTTTGATTTAAAATGTTATCTCTAATAACATCTAGGTCTTCCAGTATGACTCCATGGTCAGCTTCCTCCAGACGTAGAGATTTCTGGACAGAACAGCTCTCTGGGAATCTCCAGGTCTGCCAAAGCAATTCTATAGTGAGCTGACCATTGAGTTATGCTAGAAGGCCTAGACATTCTTAGAGAGATGTTCTCTCAGCTTAAAAATAGTATTTTTAATCTGGCTCTTCATTTTCATGGAGGCGTTTTGCTAAGGTCAGGGCAGATGTTGAAGGATGAGTTTTGTCAAACAGGGATTAATTTCCTTGAAATTCTGCTGATACGGAAATAGAAATTTCTGAAATATTACTCACCTGTTGGGCAAGGACCACAGGAATAAGAGCCTGGTATGTTGAAGCACTGTACAGGAGGATTCAGTGAGCAGGGTGGTTGAGGTAGGCTACATTCATCTATATCTGCACTGCAGGCAAAGTTCCCCGGAGGTGACATCCAACCAGCGTCACACAAACAAGTATACTTTGGCTAACAGATTGAGAACAAGGAAACCATAAAAATAACTGTGATTACCTCAATTAAAGCAGCTCTTAATACAGCACTAGGACGGTTGCTCATATCAGACAGGCTTCAAATCACATCAATGATTTCCCTTATTTGGTATCTGTTGTCATGGCCATGGTTCACCATTCTCTGTTGGTTTCCACAACCAGAAATGACATTCCAGTCATATGTAAGATCAACTTGTACCTCCCAAAACACTGTTTAGATGCATGGGCACACCACCAGATGATTTTGACGACCCAAAGTCTCTTAAATTTGAGGAAACCTAAGGGCTCAACAGCAATTGCTATTCCTGCATTAGGAAAGAAAACCAGGGCTATGTGACTTATGTATCCTCCCTCATGAGTTTGTAGAGTTGAATCCAAAGTTTGAGAAAATAATACTTTGGACTACAACCCCTAGACTCCCTTGCCAGTATGGTCACTTGACATATTATACAGGAAACAAGGGAGCTATAATCCAAAGACATGACTTTTCCAAGCTTTGGTTCATTTGTGATAGTCTCTCAGAACTATTTTCATCCATCGAGGCTTTCTTGAATAATTTCAGTTCTTCACTATCCCCTTACATACACAAACACAGTGGGGCTTTTATAAGAATTTCATTTACTTCTGAAGATTGTGATTAAACTCTTTAGTAGGATCATTTTTGTTTTGGCTGCCTTCCAGGGCTATTGGATGGTTTCGTTATTTCAGCTAAGACATGGCTAGATAAATAGAGACAGTTCAGATTTAATGATACAGGAGTTTATCACATGAGGCAGGCAAATCGCAATTACAGCAGGACAACAATGACTTTGCCCTGGACTTGTCACATGATATCCCTCCTTTCCCACCACTCTGTTGGTGAGAAACAGCCAGGAAAGAATTTATTTTACAAACACAAATAATCCATTAATGGTCTCCTTTTGTAAAAGAACTACTTTCCAAATATTTCCCACTAGGAGAATGGCAAGAAAGGAACAACGTCACATGATAGGTTCAAGGCAAAGACACTGTAGCAATTTGCCTACCCCCTTTCACACAGTCCTATATCCCAGAATATTATGGCAGAAAATCCCACAATATCTGCTTTGAACTAGGTTATCTGAGTCCACACTCAGATAATGTAGGATTTTCTGCCTTGATATTCTGGTATATAGGGCTGTGTGGAAGGGCCCCTAGTCAGAGATAAGTTGCAGCTATTGGAATCATGTGATGAATTTCTGCCGCCGCAACCCATGGACCCTGCAACAATGCCAGAAACCTTGTGGAAATCATAAAAAACTTAGGAAAGCATACATATGGCCTGCTATCCATTGTAGTTACTTTGCCTGTATAAGACTATAGCCTCAAGCACCACAAAACTCAATCAAACTAGGACACTGACCATACAGTCAGACTCTTCTTGGTTACCTGATTAGGTTGCTCTCTGATTCCATCAACACAAAGCCCATGTTGACAAAGAACAGGAGACCCTCTTTCACAGTCATCATATTTTGAAGTACAGAAGGGCCCATAGGTTTCCGGTGTACAAATACAGCTTTAGGAGGAAGAATAAACAACATTATATTATTCTTTAATTTATCTGAAGACTGTCCTTGATCTATCCAACATGAACCCTATTCATACACTGTGTTAGTACATGTATGTATTCATTCAATCAATCTATTCACCAATGCATAGAAGCATATTTATAGATTTGATAACCTAATATATATTCCCATGAGTTCAAGACACGAAGCTGTTTTGAAAAACAAACTCACTGGAGAATTGACATTTTACTCAGTTGTTTATTTACTCATTTATTTGGCTTACGTCCTGCCTTTCTTCCAGAACTTACAATCAAAGCAGTTCATAGCATGATCAAAATAAATAAATAGGATCTGGTGGCTGCCTTCTTTCCATTAAATTGGAATTATTACTGTTTTACAAGCTTTGGGAGCTTTTTCATGTGAGCACAAGTCTTAAAAGTTTTCATGCATGCCATTGGAGGGTCACGCTTAAGTTGGGACAAAGTTCTTGATCAAATTCTCAACTAGGTTGAAATGGACAGTAACAAAGATGAGGGTACCTATTTTAAAGATTCAAGGTGTTAAACTATCCAATGTGTTTAATCCTCCAAAACAGGATTGAAACATTGAAAGGCTCGTTTAAAGTTTGAGTTTGCCACATTCTTCACACTGAATACTGCTGCTCATGGTAGCCTACTGGATGTTGGCCATGGGAATCTACATCTGACAGGTCTATACCTTTAGATCAGGCATCTTCAAACTGTGACCCTCCAGTTGTTTGGGCCTCCTACTCCCAGAAGCCCTAGCTGACTTGTTCAATGTTCAGGAATTCTGAAAACTGGAGACCCAAACAGCTGGAGAGCCACAGTTTGAGGATGCCTGCTTTAGAAGTTCACATAATATTTTAGGTTACATATTATTTTAGCCTGTATATGAGCATTGCTGGATATGCAGGCAGCCTGGCTCCATAGAGCTTTTTAATAATCCAGGAAATTACTCTCAGTATTGGAATGCAATGATTCTACTTTTTACCACTTCACAATCAAGATAGTATATCAGAAGCAACTTTGGGAAAATCTAATAGTCATGCTAAATCCTGGATCAGATGTGAGAAACTGCAGAATCTCAAAGTCAAATCCGACTCTCTGGGTTTCCCAAGTGGGCTATCTTCTCATCCCATGACATCATCTTCAATGTTTCCCAGCATCTTGCACAGGCTCCCTCTCATTCTAGGAGGCTATCTCCAGTTTAGTTTCTGGTAATAAAGAATTTTACAATAACGTTTTCTGGTAGTTTTGGTCTCAAACTTTTGCATTTGGCCCACTCATCAATGGCACATAGCTCCGCAAAATAGATCCTTGCTGTCCAACTTTTGCACTTTTTAGCTCATTTAAAAATCTACCAGTTTCTCTCTCCTCCTACTTTTCCCATTTGCTATAAACTAAGTTCAAAGCACAAAAGTAGTTTTAACACAATTCACTCAGCAATGGGGAGAAGAAAAGCAGGAACTTGGCCTTCCCGGTAGGCTCAGGCAAAAGCAAGCTGCTGCAGGCTCTCACAGTTCATGTTTTCTTTCTCATGAATAACATTTTCCATCTTAACCAGGCTCCATTAGTGCTTGACCATATGTAGTTTTCCTCGGTAAAACATCAAAATATACAGCTTGGAAATGGGTCCTCTGACTCCACTAAAGAGAGTGATTCTTGAGCATTGGAGAAGCTAACATCTGAGGAGTAATAGACAGCACAACTGGTCATACAATGATAGGAAGAAATACTGGGGTTTGAAGAACCCACAAGCTAAAGCCTGAAAGAGTCCAGCATTTCTAAATTATGTCTATGATTCATCAGCTCCACTCATTGGCTAATCAGTAAGAGATAGGACTTTTTCAGCTGTAGTCCTACTCTATGGCATTTTCTCCCAACTAGGAGTAAAAACCTACTCTTACTCATCCTAGCCTGAAAACTGGATGATTCATTTTTCTGAGTGCTCCATTTTCCATTAGCTGGATGACTTAATACATTAAATGCAAGCTAACTTGGGTTACTGAGCACTGCCTCCAATGAACTAGTACTGATTAACTCAGATTTCAAAGCTTTAATGCCTGGCCCCCCCCCCCCACTGTAATAAAAGAATGGCTGGCTTTTTAACAGATTGCGGGTTTCAAGCAGAAAGTCTCATTTCCTGGTAAATGTAATTTGAATTACTCTTTGTAAGCATACAGTTTCTCTTGCCCTCCTACTGTCGAGTTTTGGACATATTAAACAAAGCAAAATTACTGTGTTCAGACAAAAAAGGATATTTGGTTTGCACTTCAAAAAGTGACCAGGAGACCTGGATGGCTAGTCATGCAGATTTCAGAACACCCGGTCCTTCCTGCCCTGGTAGAACCCCTTGAAGAGGAAGAATATGCAATTGTATGTGGTCTGGTTTAACACAGTATTTATTTCTTGCTGCTTTCAAGCTGCCTAGATCAAAGCTGTTGGAAGTAGGATGTTTAACAAGACCAGTTAGTCTGGGAAATAAATGAATAAATGATTTGCTGGCAAGGAACTGGAAGTGTCCTCATTTAAACAAAATACTTTGAAATATAACAGGACACTTTTTAAATTGTTCCAGTCAGAAAATAGAGAAAATGTTTTTTGACCAGCGCATTGTATGATTCAATAGGTCCACTAGTTCCTATATTAGTTAGAACTATGCAAAGTAGTATTAAAGGCTGCATGGCTTTGGAAAACTGAAATCTCCAGAACCTTTTGGAGATGTTATGATCTTTGGAAAAGTATGACCTTGTTAGAAGTCACAACCTTTTGAAAAAATGATGCCAATGCACAAAATACATATATATTTAGCAGAATTTCAGAAGTGTTCTTTTAATTGCTCAAAAACATCTACTCTCCCTTAAAATATATTTGCCTTTAAATCATGCTCTCAAGAGACAAAAATAAGCAGACTTTTTAAAAAGTAACATAGTTGGTTTACTCACAAACTCCATGTATTCAGTATACAGGTATTTTGCTTATCAATCCAGTTAGAAATAGTTTTGAAGCAGTTTCTCTGTGTAGCAAACACAGGGCATCTTTCTCATGATCACAACAGTCCCGTAATCTAAAGCATCTCTCTGTTCTCCTACTGAAATCTAAACTGTACTGTTTCTAAAATGGAGCCTGAGTCCTGAACAAGCCCAGTTCTGATCACATAGTCTGCAGCCCCTCCCACAACAAAGAGTTAAAATAAAATTCCCAGCAAGAAGACCCTACCAAAGAGTTAGGTAAATAATATACTGGGTATAGTTGAAGTGAAGCACTATTTGTGCATATATATGCTTGGGACTTGCAAAGAGGGAATGTTCCAATGCCACCGAATGTCACCAATTTGAGATAGATTGCCACACCATTGACACCAATTTGTAAAAGTATCCCACTTCGCCAATTTGTTTTACTGTGGTTAGCAACACTGGCCAATCTGCGAAAGTATTCCACCTAATACTGTTTAAATCTCCAAAGGTTTGCTAATTTATAAAAGGTGTAGATAATTATAGATGTAATTCAGGTAACTGCCACCAACGAGAGGTAATGCCGATGAGAACTAGTTCCCCAGACGCAGATATATAGAGACGACACTGTCTTCAAACAAAAGTTAATAAGTTTATTTTGAACAAAGCATATGGTTGCAGGCTGTTGGTTTACTTGGAATAACTTAGAGACTTGTAGAACTTTAAATGTAACTCATTTTGCAATACAGTTCACACTTCTGGATGATACAACTTGTAATTGACTTTTACTGTGGTGAAGCACTTTCTTAAACAATGTTTCCTGAGGTGAATGAATAGCCTTCCTGTTTGATCCTTTCTTGATCAAACCCTAGATCTCTAGTTCTTTCCTAACTAATGATCTAAACAAGCTGCACTTAGTCTTCTCTGACTAATGAAACTAATCAGGTTTCCCCCCTTCAACCTTCCTAGATTGAAGAAACCTCAGACTATTCACAAACACTGCTTCTCTACTTCCCCTCTTCTCTCTTGACTGCTCACTCTGAACTCCAAACCCTAACTGACTGCTTCTTTTCAAACGCAGATAGATTTCTCTCGCTAGGCTCCGCCCACTTTCCACTCTCTCCTGCCTGGTCTCCTTGGCAACGCCACAGTGGATACAACCAGTTAGTTCTAGTTTTCAGCTACTGTTACCAAACAAATAATTAAACAGTTCAAATACATATACCTAGTTTCAATAACTTCCTTACAGGACTCAATGTGATTTTGCTGACTCCTGAAGGGTCTATCAACATTGAACTATCTCAATTTAGTTTCTGTCTTCTGCTGAAACCACATAGAAGAAGTCTGCCACGAAATCCTGAAGATCTACTCACTGGGACCTGTGCTGCATTCATTTCACGTGGCTAATGATTGGTTGAGCCTAAAGTTGTTTTTTTCTGCTTGAAAGACTCTGGGTGTGAAAGTTCATGCAAGTGTAGGCATTGGATGTACCTCTTCCCCTAGAATACAGACCCTGCAACATAGAATCATAGTCGGAAGAGACCTCATGGGCCATCCACTCCAACCTCCTGCCAAGAAGCAAGAAAATCGCATTCAAAGCACCCCCAACAGATGGTCTCTGTTTAAAAGCCTCCAAAGAAGGACCCTCCATGCCCTCTCTCTTGTCCCCACAAGTCGCACTTGAGATGTGGGCAGGAGTGGGAGAAGAGCCTCTCTGGAAGATCAAAGAGATTGCGTGGGTTCGTAGATGGAGATACGGTCGCACAGGTAGGTGGGTCCCAAACCGTTCAGGGCTTTCTAGGTCAAGACCTGCACCTTGAATTGGGCCCATAAAACAAACGGCAGCCAGTGGAGTTCCTTAAACAGGAGGGTTGACCGCTCTCTGTAATACGCACCAGTTAGTAATCTGGCTGCCACCCGTTGGACCAATTGGAATTTCCAGGCCATCTTCAAGGGCAGCCTCATTGCAATAGTCCAATCTAGAGGTAACTGAAACGTGGACCACTGTGGCCAGATCCAACTTCCCGAGGTACGGTTGCAGCTGGCGCACGAGTCTTAATTGTGCGAAGGCCCTCCCAGCCACCGCCGACGCCTGGGCTTCAAGCGTCAGCGCTGAATCTAGGAGGACACCCAAGCTGCGGACCTGTGATTTCAAGGGGAGTGTAACCCCGTCAAGCACAGGTTGCCACCCTATACCTCGATCCAGTCTACGATTGACCAGGAGGACCTCTGTCTTGTCGGGATTGATCCTCAACTTATTCGATCTCATCCAGATGGTCACAGCGGTCAGGCACTTGTCCAGCACCCGAGGGGCTTCCTTGGAATTAGGTGGAAAGTAATAGTAGAGTTGGGCATCATCTGCATAGAGATGGCACCGAACTCCAAAACTCCGGATGACCTCTCCCAGTGGTTTCATGTAGATATTAAAAAGCATGGGAGACAGGTCAAAGGACAGGGGTCCGAGCAGGTGTCCCCCAGCTTCATCGTCTGGGAACAACCCTCTAGGAAGGTCCGGAGCCACGACAGACCCGTGCCCCCGAGGCCCATCCCGGAGAGCCGGCCCAGAAGGATACCATGGTTGATGGTATCGAAAGCCGCTGAGATGTCCAAGAGAACCAGCAGGGTCACACTCCCCCTGTCCAGCTCCCTGTGGAGGTCATCCACCAAGACGGCCAAATTTGTCTCAGTACCGTGATGAGACACAGTATTCCAGGTGTGGTCTGACCAAGATAGCTATATGTCATAGCTTTGAATAATCCACATTAACTCTTGGGGGGAGTTTAGGCAGCCTATGGGCCCTTCCACACAGCCATATCTCCCAGAATATCAAGGCAGATAATACACACTACATGGTTTGAACTGGATTGTTTGAGTCCACTATGCCATATAATTCATTTCAATGTGGCTGTTATAGAGCTGTGTGGAAGGGGCCAGTTCTAACTGAGATGCTGCATTGGATAACACATCTCCTCTTTACCTTAGCAAAAAAAAAAAACCCCAAAAAAACCCAATTTTTTTGCTCTGGCAAGGCCATGTCCAGACACAAGCATTTGCCCAATGTGGAGAGAAGGGTAGTGTTTCATAGCATTGTTTTATAGTTGAATACATAGCAACAGGAATCCTCAATGGCCTCCCAGCAATCTTCCAAAGGTTCCAGAAAGGTGGAAGTTTAGCTTTTGCACAATCGGTAGAAGATTCTGACTTTTATAACTACTCCAAATGTAGATTGCATAGGTCTGAGTTAGACTTGGTCTGTGTAACTCACTAACGGAATGCCAGCCTCCATCTCTCTACAAGTCGAACTCTCTTATGATTACTTTTTTAAACTCTCAGAAAAGTACCAAGCGACACTACTTGCTGTTATTAAAGGGGAAAATGCATCTTGGACATATTTTTGTGGTAAGGAAGAATTAGAATTGGTCTGAATTAATCTGTCTAAAAGCTTACAAACAATGAAGAAGTGTTCCCAAACAAGATCAACACCAAGTAAACATTTGCAGAGAGAACGGATTTTTGTCATGGTGGTGATTGTTATTATTATTTTGAGGCCCAAACCAAAATGCTCTGTAGAGAATTCTGGCATGTGGCTCTCTCTTACTAGGAAAGCTGTGTCAGGAAATCTGGTTTTCACCAGCAAGCCATTTTTAATGAAATGAGGGCTTTTAAATAAGATCTCTTACAGATGTAACTCAAAGCCAAGAGGTTTATCTAAAAATGAAGCAGTTAAACATTTCACGGTGAAACAGAGCTGGATGAGAAGAGAAAGTATCCATTTTCAAACACAATGCCCATACTCATATGCCCTAATTTACAAATATTCCCACTTTTTGAAGAGTACTGGTGTTTCACCAAACTACAAATCCTAGAATTCAGTGCCATTGAGCCATGACTGCAAGTGCATTTGGGTGGGTTTCCATCACTGTCAAGAAGCCCTGGAAGGTTTACCTAGGAAAGGGTGTCTTGATGATCAAATCTAGCTATTCCTTTCCATTTCCCATGATACCTCAGAATTCATTCACACCTAATGTTCTCTAAGGACTATGGGAAATTCAAAGGATAACTAGACTCAAATGAAATTTCCCTTAACTCTCCAAATTTCTAACATTCAGTAATAACAGTAAACTTCAACGGAACATTTACAAAATCAGTTTAGGCATCCAATGAACAGAGAAAGGCCAAAATTGTCGAGGGGATGTAATCACAGCAAATAGGTGCTATAGGTGTGAATTTTTTCCAGTGTTTTATTTACTAGAGTAAAGGTATAGGTTTCCCCTAACATTTAAGTCTAGTTGTGTCTGACTCTGGGGGGTGGTGCTCATCTCCATTTTTAAGACGAAGAGCTGGTGTTCTCCATAGACGCCTCCAAGGTCATGTGGCCTGCATTACTGCATTGAGCGCCGTTACCTTCCTGCCGAAGTGGTACCTATTGATCTACTCACATTTACAAGTTTTCAAACTGCTAGGCTGACAGAAGCTGGGGCTAACAGCAGGAGCTCATCCTGCTCCCCGGATTCGAATTGCCAACCTTTTGGTTAGCAAATTCATCAGCTCAGCAGTTTAACCTGCTGCACCACCAGGGGCTCTGTTTCATTTACTGCATTGCTAGAAATCTAGGGACCAAAAGGAAGTGAGATATTTATTTGGAGGGCATGCCTTCATTTTAGCCCAACCCAACCCACTATAACCCTGAGTACACATCAGCATTTCATCTTGATTGGCTTCTACAGCTCTGACAAATATTCAAAGAAATCATGTAATGGTTTTTGCATATGGACCTCTACTTGAACACCTCTCTCCTATAATGGTCTGCAGCACAAGGATATTAGGAGTTACCTGTAACTACCCGGAGTATTTACACATGTAGCTCCATTCTGGCAAGCAAGCGGTGTCCCAGCATAACTCTGGCACTCATTAACATCAACAGAACAGAAAGGACCCTGAAAAAAAGAAACACGGGTTATTTCCCAAGTAAAATGAAGGGCACAACGGGATCTGCAGAGTCAGTGTATGATATAGAATTTCAAAAGATGTACAGCATCTGGCTTGCCTTTGGCAAGGCTTCCTTCAGTAAACACTAACACAAAACTCAATTGTTCAGCTCTGCCTACCTCATCAATGGAAGTACAGTATGTTTTCATTTAATTTAAAACACGGGGCCAGGAAACACAGACACTTTCAGAGATGAAATTTTGCACTGCCGTCCCTGAGGCTGCTGACACCAGAGATACCCAAGAAAGCACATGTTCTTTTAAAGGAGTTATTATATAGGAATTAATCTGTATGGTGACTTAAAGACAGTACATGCTACTAATATGAAAATACAGATAATTTTCTCTACATTTTTAGAGCTTTCTCTGAATAAATTAAGTTGCAAGGCCAGCTGATGACGCAAACAGCAATTCCTTTTTAAAAACCACAATGGCTACATAACACATAGAATTTGAGCAATTAAAATTATAGGTTTCTTTGATTATCCTTTTATTCTTATGACCTCAGGTCTGCAGTACCAAGTCAGCATTTACTTATCTAGATTGGCCATCAGAGAAATCACTGCAAACCATTACCTGTGGCTTTTTTAATTTTTAAGAAGGATTATAGTGCATCAGTGAAAAGGCACTTTTGTATCATTACTGCAATCTAAAATCAGAGAGGAATAAATTTGCCCTCCAAATCGTAAGTGCAATAAACAATGCCTTTTTGTTTTAAACTTCGGAACAGCCTTAGTTGCTAAATTTTCCTCAAAAGAATAGGATGAATGCACGGAAAGGTGACCACAAGAATTGTATATCTTTAGACCAGTGGTTCCCAACCTGTGATCCGTGGATCACCAGTGGTCCCCAAGAACTAAAATATGGTCCACGTTGCAACATTGCAACGAGAGTGACTGGTCTCGCAAAAACCTGTTACAGTGCTGAGACAATGAGGATATTGGGAGGGGAAAGGTTGACTACCCACGAAAGGTACGACAAGTCTCCAGACTTCTGCTTCTCCTCCTCCTCCTCCCTTCCCCTGAGTGCAGCCGTTCCCTGTGGCACCTGGAAGTGGGGCGGGGGGGGGGGGGGTGCCTTGGTGTTTTAGGCCTGTTTCTGGGGTTATTTAGGGTGCTGATTCAGAAAATTGCATTGGATAGATCACATCAGCTCCAGATTCTTAAAGATGGTTTTCTGGGCAAGCAGATGGTGACTACTGGGTGGCATATGTTCTGTATCAGAAACTAGCACTGATGTGGTCTATCCAATGCAATTTTCTGAATCAGGATTCCAATAACCAAACCAAATTTAAAGTTGACCAAAAACTGATTCATAACCCTTTTGGTACTAATGTTGGGGAGTGGTCCCTGGTCAAAGTGGTCCCTGGTCAAGTGGTCCTTGGTCAAAAAAAGGTTGGGAACCACTGCTTTAGACCAATCTGGAAAAGCTCAATAGGCTGTTAGGAATTGAGGGTGTTGAAGTTCAAAACACCTGAAAGCTGAAGTTTGCTCATGCTGCTGTAGAGGATCATGAAACTTTACTTTACTTATAATATACACTGAATGATCCTTACCTGCCAGTTTTCAGGACAGAGGCAGAAGAAAGCATCCAGCAAATTTATGCAAGTTCCAGAATTCTGGCAGGGGTTGCTGTTACAGGCTTTTGTCAAGAAGCTCTGGGTGAAAAGAAGGAAGCAAATAAATCTATTCTGATAGAATCCCTGAGTGTATTGGTACAGTTCTCAAAGAATCTTCAAATATTTAAATAATTTGATTGTATTTGGTTGCAACTCAGAAAATAAGTTGAGGAGTCAATCGTGAAGGTAGTTCTATTGCTCTGCCAGTAAAATTTGACAACCATATTTCTCAAGAAGAAATATTGCATTCTGTCTGCACTGTTTCCAGAACATTTTCACCATCATCAACAACTCATGCATGCCCAGTGCAGAATTCATTGTGGATCACTGTGCATGTGACACTAAGTCATCTGTCAATATATGACTATTCCAAAAATTTCATAGGATATTTTAAGGCAAGCAATACACAGGGGACCCTTACACACAGCCCTATATCCCAGAATATCATGGCAGAAAATCCCAAATTATCTGAGTGTGAACTCAGCTAACCAGTTCAAAGCAGATATTGTGGGATTTTCTGCCTTGATATTCTGGGATATAGGGCTGTGTGGAAGGGCCCAGTGACAGTTTAGCCAGCTCCTTCCTATAAAATATAGCCTACAGCACCTGGTATTCATTGGTGGTTTCCCTTCCAAGTACTAATCAGGGCTGACCCTGCTTAACTTCCAAAACCCAATGCCATTTGTTGCCTTTGTGGTGTCACTTTGATATTTGTATTATTCTAAAAACATATTGTTCTGTACATTCCATTAAATCACTCACCTGCTCAAGGTTTTGAATTCTTCCTTCAATATTTGCAATCTGCAAACAGAAATGGAAAGACAAACATTTTGGGATAATAATGATAAATCCATATCATATTTAGCAACAATGAGTAGATTAAGAAGAAAGGCTAGATCCTCAAGCAGACAATGGGTAAATGTTGTATCCTCTCCAGTGCTACAAATAGTAATATAAAGTGCCTTGATATGGATTCCATAGAATTGGAAGAGACCTCGTGGGGCATCTAGTCTAACCCCCTCCCAAGAAGCAGGAAAATCACATTCAACGCATCCCCAACAGATTACCATCCAGCCTCTGTTTAAAGGCCTCCAAAGAACGAGACTCCACCACACCTGGGCAGAGAGTTCCACTGCTGAACAACTCTCACAGTTAGGAAATTCTTCCTCATGTTCAGGTGGAATCTCCTTTCCTGTAGTTTGAAGTCATTGTTTCACATCCTAGCCTCCAGGGCAGCAGAAAACAAGTCTGCTCCCTCCTCCCTATGACTTCCCCTCACATATTTATACATGGCCCTCTCAGCCTTCTCTTCTTCAGGCTAAACATGCCCAGCTCTTTAAGCCGCTCCTCATAGGGCTTGTTCTGTAGACTTTAACTGAGAACACATGAGAGATGTATGAAATTTCTGTAACATGCTTTATTTGCAAATATACAAGTAAAGTGTGTATGGCAAAACAGAAACCCTATAAAAAAAGAATCCCTTACCTCACCCCACATTGATGCCCCAAAATAAAGCCTCAATGTTGCAAGTGGTGTAAATATCAACGGATAACATAGGTTCAAAGGACTTATAGTAAGTCTGCATTCAAATGCAATCACATTTCTCTCTTATTCCTGACCTTTAAGGTCCCATCAATGAACTCTTAGATCCCCCTCTGTTTCTTCCACTTCTGAAGGGCTGTTTATCATGTGACACCCTGGTTCCTCTTCACTGACATGGACAGTTATCATTTGCTTAGAGTTATGATGGTTTACTACCTTTAACATATTCATCCTTAACAATATGTTCTTTTAAGGAGGCATTAGCCAACAGTTTTGAGTTATTAGCATAGGGCTGACAACCATATGGGTTTCCAAATGTTGTTGGACCTCAACCCTCAGTAGCTATAATCCACAGATTCAATGGTAAGAAATCCAGGGATTTGAAGTCCAACAAACTCTGGAGGGCTGTATGAATCCCATCTGTTTAAACATACCAAAAAGAAGAGTTAGCCAGAAGCCTAACACAATCAAGATGGTGGTATTGAAATCAGTTGGAATCCTTATGAATCACTACACTTGTTCTACATTTTCCATCTATTAAAATACATGTGTTTTGCCTAAGGATAGAAATGGTTCTGAGTAAGCACCCAATTTTGTGGTTTCAGTTGGAAATGTAGACATCTTTCAATCTCTATTTTGTTATACAATCTACTGAGTTTACACAGTTTTTATCCATTGACAACAATGAGGTTCTGCACATTTTTTTCAATTACTATCGTCATTTCTAACTATGTGTATGTTTCATCAGACAGAAACCTTTTCTAAGCCTTCATATTCAGAGGGAGGGACATAATCTCTCACAAAGGAAGTGAGGACTGACAACTTTCACTGAGGAAGGTAAATTAAGGATGGGATGAAATTTTGTTGGACTTGACACTTTCATAGTAAATTCACTCCTGATTTCCCACTTTTCCTCCCACAGTTTCACCAAGTTATTCTCTAAACTGGACTCTGATGATTCAGAGATTTGATGCTGACGGAGCTTCCATTCAACTTAGAATAACTGTAATAATAATAATAATAATAATAATAATAATAATAATAATAATACCACTTTATTAATATTTTGCCCTTCTCCCTGACTCAGAGTGAAAACAGTATATAAACAGACACAGACAAACATTCAATACACCGACAAAGGCAAAGTCTTCTCCTTTCATTTCTGGCTCTGGAGGTAGTGTTTATCTCTGGATCTGGGGGAGGTGCTCCAAGTTGGGGGAGCCTGTATTGTCCAACTTGGAGCACCTCCCCCAGATCCAGAGATAAGCACTGCCTCCAGAGCCAGAAATGAAAGATGTTCCATGCACTTTTCCATCCAAAGTGGTATCTATTGATCTACTCACATTTCCATGTTTCAGAACTGCTAAGCTGGCAGAAGCTAGGGTTAACAGTGGGAACTCACTCCATCCTGCRGATTCGAACTGCCAACCTTCAAGTCAGCAGTTCAGTAGCATAAGGGTTTAATTCATTGTGCCACCCACAATAATATATATATATATATATATATATATATATATATATATATGTTTCTCCAGTTTTCAAAGACCTACTTCAATGTAGTGTGAGCCCTGCCTCATGCACAATGGAGGACCTTCTCACCACGACACCAGAAGCACTCCAAGTGACCAGCTTCTAGTAAAAGGAAATCTAGTATAATGCCAATTTTTAACTTTGCTTTTTTAAATACATTACAACTGTACACTAAATTCGCTTCTGACACGATAAATAAATTCAGATGATATGCCTCAGATTAGTGTGGAGTGAAGTAAACTTGAGTTTGTCTTGGTCAGGACTAGTTTGTGTAAATTTTACATAGATGTGCAACATATGTCATCATATGAGAGCTGGTACAGCATAGTGGTGTGAGCATAAATCTTTGGCTTAGAGACCAGAGTTTGAGTCCCTATTTGGACATGGAAACTCAATGGACAGGTCACGCTCTCTCAGCCTCAGAACAATTTCCTTCTTTGAATAAATCTTGGCAAGAAAACCCCATGATAAGGATAATCCTTAGGGCAACCATAAAAACTAGGCACACTGCAACAAACAGCAAATATATGGCCGTAATGACAAATGGTTTTACATTTAGGATATAATAAACTCTTAGTCTAAGAAACATTCTCTGAGGGTATAGAAATCTTATATCAACAAGCCCATTGACATAAAAAAGAAGGAAAAACTGGGAGCAAGTCTGGAGTGATCCATCATTCTAATGTAGTATTTTATATTTCTAGACCTGCCATGGTAATATCACAATCGTGTTTGCATGCTCTTTCAAATCCAAAATAAAACCTGTACAGATGACAGGATTATGGGTTAAGAATTAAGCTTCATATTTGTATTTCTATATTTTTTGGAAAATAAATATATAATTTCCAAATATTAGAACAGTTCAAACCGAGGACACTTTGCTTAGTGGGATTAGGCTTGCTGATGAAACAGGCACAATGCCGCCAAAGTTAAACCTCTGTAAATCTCAGGAGAAAGTGGACCATATATTTAATAACATTTCCTTCTTAATATTAGTGGGTTTTTAAAGAGTCTTTATATGGTCTTTAAACAGAATTATGCACACATAGGTTTTTACATTTGACTGCCATACACCTAGAAATTATGATTTGTAAGGAGAAAATGTACAATACTGAAGTCTGTGGATTAATAATGCTACTGGAATGTGAATGTTCATATTCCTCAAGCTCCAGAAAGTTTATATTACAAGTGCTTGAGGATTTTTATTTGTATTAAAAGAAAACAACATTGAAACCAAGTTCTAATGAGCAATTACCATATGAAAATAATATAAGAAATGTAGAAAAATGAGATTTGATCCAGTACCCATGAAATTAATATGCTTCTGTCCATGGGGTTTACATTTCAGCAGTCTATCATCACTCGATGGCAGGTTAAAGAGAATACATTTTTTTTCAAATGGTGGCAGGGATCTGGAAGACATGTTTGTTGGTAACTGTTGCACTCCAGGTCTAGAAAAACCTACGACCACCGCACCACACAAGAGTCCAGGAATATAAACAAACAGTTTATTTTAAAAAACACATAAAATAATATAAATATCAGGAATAAGAAAGGAAGATATATAATCCAAAAAGGTTTAGCAACAGGTGATAACCAAACAATAATCCAAATGTCTCATACATTTCCAGAGGTGACAAAGTCCAGAAACAGCCAGAAATCCCAGGTACAACATAATTCCACAAGCAAGAAGTTATAACTAGTAAAAACTTGAACAGGAGTACATGAACAGGACCATAGAAAACTTCCAGGATATATTAAATCCAAAACCAAGGCTTGACTTGAAACAGGAACAAGAGAACTCAGTCTTAGCTTCTCACTCTAAGCTGAACTGCCCTTAAAGTAAACAACTTGTTGTTTAATAGACAGCCATGAAAGCAATACATCTCCCGTGAATTTTCTCCACAACTTTCCCACGTTATCTCTCTGACCAATGTAATCTATTTTTGGCTCTAATTTGTAAACAAAGACTTTTGTTGATTTCCATAGCTACAGATGGGTTCCTATGGGAACCCTCCTTATCACTCAGCTCTTCACTCAATTTATTATCTGTTGTTGTTACTTCTGACTCACCTGAATGACGTTGAGGCCCTGCACTTTCCGAGCCAGTTTTCTCACAGAGCGAACCATCATTTCTCAGTTTTGAATTTCTCAGACCCGAGGGGAAGCTCACAATCCTCTCCAAACCATCAATGAAACCGTCAGCCTCTGGCTGATCTACAATAGTAACACTATAGGAGTTAAGACTTACCTTGAAATGAAGCTGAGTTATCTGGCTGGAAACATTTTGTGACGTGCTAGCCGTTCTTTTGAGTTCTAGGATCTCATCTTTATTCTTTTGGATCTAAATTTAAAAGGAAAAAAGATAGTTCTAATGTGCTTAAAATATAGGAAATAAACACAGTATTCATGGTTGCTTTAGAAAAAAATAGACGCCACTGCTGCTGTAGAACCTACAATAGAATAAAGGAAAACACAAGGGACAATCGTACTACTCTTTACCTTCTTTATTCATAGTTAGTTCAAGTTTAAATTTCATGGGATGCTTGGGGGAAAATGTGAAGGGGACATGGAACCATATAGAAATATACTATTCAACATTTTTTTTTCATTATTGAGAGCAGCAATGACTAATGTTAACCATTTGGTTTCTACTGTCAGTTTCTCCAGTTTTCAAAGACGATCATATGTTCAGGGGTAATTCAGGGTCTATTCACATGTGTGGATGATTTTGTCCAGGCTATAGGATTTTCTGCACAAAATGTTTTGTTCCCAATTGGAAAAATTCTTGTCACTCCAGGAATCTTCTTGCTAGGGTTTCCCAATACTCAAGAAACATGTCTTTTGATCCATTTTTGAATATGCTTTCTGTCTCAAGGAGACAAGAAGGAACTCCTATTGCATAGAGGTCCATGTACCTATAGATAATTATGAATGCCAGCTATAAGCATATTGAGGAGTGCTTTGCATTCAGGTAACTTGGGGCCCTTCCACACAGCCATATAACTCGGAATATCAAGGCAAATAATCCACAAAATCTGCTTTGAACTAGATTATCTGAGTTCATTATTTATTTATTCACTTGCTTCTCACTCTTTGTGACCTCCTGGACCAGCCCGTGCCACAGCTCCCTGTCGGCCATGGCCACCCTCATCTCCTTCAAGGTCAAGCCAGTCACTTCAAGGATACCATCCATCCATCCATCTTGCCCTTGGTCGGCCCCTCTTCCTTTTTCCTTCCTCCCCCCGCCCACCCAGTATCATTGTCTTTCCCAAGCTTTCTTATTATGTGGCCAAAGTACTTCATCTTTGCCTCTAATATCCTTCCCTCCAGTTTCCAACAATTAGTTTTGGAGACCTTTAGGGCTGGGCACAACCCTCTTTCCAGATTTGGCCCATGGAAGATGTTTCCTCAAAATTACCGTATATTCCGGCATATAAGACGACTGGGCGTATAAGACGACCCCCAACTTTTCCAGTTAAAATATAGAGTTAAGACGACTCCCATGCATAAAACTACACCCACGTATAAGACGACCCCTGACTTTTGAGAAGATTTTCTTGGGTTAAAAAGTAGTCTTATATGCCAGAATATACTGTATATAGTGCAAAAGTGAAAAAAATAAGCTGAAAGTGCAGAAGCATGTTTCAGCTCACCCAACAACTAAGGGAACTGTAGATGCAGGTTGATAATAGAAGTAAATGAACTCCCCTAATTTGTTGTCAGTCTTCATATATTTTCACAGCCTCAGACTTTCATACTAATGCAAAAAGAAAAAAAACTAACAAAGGCAATGATATACCGTAATCCTTTCTATACCATTGGGAAGCAGTTAACATTAGGCCAAGATGCCAACAATGTCTCCAAAAACCATCTGCCTGGTCACGTGTGGTTTACATGCCCATGCCCATACTATATGAGGCATTTTGGAAGATGAGGTTTTTTATAAAAGTCGAGTGATTCTGAGTTCTGCTCAATCTTCAGCTATTGCCTAGATCACTCAAGGTTTCACAAAAGAAAGGAAAGGATGAAAAAAACCCCAAGAAAGTTGAGGGTATCTCATTAGTCAACACATTAAACAAGTAAGGATAGATCTAGTCTAGAATATAGAATCATAGAGTTGGAAGAGACCACATGGGCCACCCAGTCCAACTCCCTGACAAGAAGCAGGAAAATTGCATTCAAAGCACCCCCGACAGATGGCCATCCAGCCTCCAAAGAAGGAGCCTCCACCATACTCCCGGGCAGAGAGTTTCACTGCTGAAACAACTTTATATGGCAGGGTAATGCAGTTTTCAGAGGGCTATGATTGGAAATAGAAATAACTTAATATTGTCCAGGAAGGTAAGTTGTGTTACATAATTCCCTGAACATCTACTGTAACATGCACAAACACCTAAAGCAAGCCCACTTGCAGGTGGGTACTTCAGAGAAAAATTACTTTCCCTTCCAGAAGGAAAATATCATGAACAGTAAGATATTTGTAAAACAGGGGTGATTTCAGAGAAAGCATGATACTTCAACAACAGATAAAAAAAAACCCTTGACTTGGAAAGACCTTAAGGTACCACAGTATCTCTTCTCATTGCCATCGTCTATTCTAAAATATTGCTGTTGTTATCCTAAAGTTCAATGAGATAATACCTAATTATATATTATAAAGTAGTTATCTTTTACTTTTTATATAATTTCATAAATTTATGGTCCTGTTATCAGTGGTTCCTGTATTATGAGACAGACAGCAGATATCAAATAGCATAAACAACTTTTGATACTTTAAACAGGTGGAACATCAGAATCAGCTGGAAACAGAGATGGATTTTGAACCTATCAGCTGGTTTGTTTTAAAAAGCTAAGGACCTACTATCCTGAAAAAGAAATAGCTACTATTTGTGTTTGCATAAACTCTAGCTATCCCAACTTGTCGGGGACAGCCTACTTCTTTTTAGCCAGGGTGTGTATCCAGAGCATAATGGAAGGTGAATTCTGGCTCCAATTTTGAAGGAAGGAAGCCTCACATACATAGCCTCACTTGGAGAGTCTATTGCAGCAATGGATCAATTAAGGCTTGCCACTCTGAGTCGCCTTCGGGCTGATATGAGCGGGGCAGAAATAATGCAAATAAATAAATAATAAATAAATTTCTGTACGCTGCCTCTGTCCTAGCAGGGCTGGAGATTTGGATACAGTCCTTTCCTTCATGTCTGGAGCTGTGCCCAACCAAACTAGAGAATTCACACCATCATATCTCATCTGCAGGGGACTTGCGAAAATCAGAAACTTTGAGTCAGTCAACCCGTCTCATAAGACATCAGTTTCTCATAATGCAAACATTGTGAAATTTACCACTCAGAAATTTGTTGGAGCATGCACAAAATCAGTTGTGTGTGTGTGTGAACTTTGAAATAAGATGCATGGAGCTGATTGGTTGTTCTATGCCCAGGGAGCTGGCTGAGCCTGGGACTTTTGGATACTGTTACATTTTTCAGGCTTGACCTATGCAGGTGCTTGCAGAAAAGGAGAGAGAAGCAAAGTGAGGCAGAGTTTGGAGTGCACTTTTGCTTCATAAGCTGCTGAAGAAGTTTATTCACATGGACAGCGAAAGACCATTTTAAATTTGTCATAAAAGGACATTATTTGAGTCGATGCAACTGATCACATGATTGTAAATATGTTGTTCTGAATTATGAAGAATAAATGACTTGTTCTTTATTGTTCATCTATGTGGCATATTCTCTTTCCCTGGCAAGGCAGTGTGTGGGCTGATCAAACATGAACTACGCTAATCAAACATGAACTAAACTCCCAAAATGCCAAAATTAATCCCCCCAACCCCACGAGTATTCAAATTTGGGTGTATTGAGTATTTGTGCCAGATTTGGTCCAGTAAATGAAAATACATCCTGCATATCAGATATTTACATTACAATTCATAACAGTAGCAAAATGACAGTTACGAAGTAGCAATGAAAATAATTTTATTGTTGGGGGTCACCACAACTCGGGGAACTGTATTAAGAGGTTGCAGCATTAGGAAGGTTGAGAAACACTGACCTATGGGTTGGCTGCTTTCTTTAGCTTCTCTGTATTGTCACATATTCCTGCATACAACAGTGCTTTTCCTGTTGCCTAATTATTTTTTTTCAGTCACTATAGGGAGGTGTTTGGAGAAACTGTGTAAAGAAGTTCCACTCATGACACTTGGACTAGTAGTACTGCAAACTAGAGCTTGGAAAGTGTAATTCCTGGGATCTCACATCCCCACCTCCCCCAACCGGCATGGCCACTGGCAACACTGCAGACAGAATTATTGAATTTACAAGCTACACACATTAGATACAATTTTCAAATACACTTGGAATCATAGAATCATAGAGTTGGAAGAGACCTCATGGGCCATCCAGTCCAACTCCCTGCCAAGAAGCAGGAATATTGCATTCAAAGCACCCCTGACAGATGGCCATCAAACCTCTGTTTAAAAGCTTCCAAAGAAGGAACCTCCACCACACTCCGAGGCAGAGACTTCCACTGCTGAACGGCTCTCATAGTCAGGAAGTTCTTCCTAATGTTCAGATGGAATTTCCTTCCTTGTAGTTTGAACTCATTGTTCCACGTCCTAGTTTCCAAGGCAGCAGAAAACAAGCTTGCTCCCTCCTCACTGTGACTTCCTCTCACATATTTATACATGGCCATCATCATGTCTCCTCTCAGCCTTCTCTTCTGCAGGCTAAACATGCCCAGCTCTTTAAGCCGCTCCTCATAGGGCTTGTTCTCCAGACCCTTGATCATTTTAGTCACCCTCCTCTGGACACTTTCCAGCTTGTCAATATCTCTCTTCAATTGTGGTGCCCAGAATTGGACACAATATTCCAGGTGTGGTCTAACCAAGGTGGAATAGAGGGGTGGCATGACTTCCCTGGACCTAGACACTATACTCCTATTGATGCAGGCCAAAATCCCATTGGCTTTTTTTTTCTTTTCTTTTTTTTGCCACCACATCACATTGTCGGGTCATGTTTAATTTCTTGTTCACACTTCAAGGATCAATTTAAAATTTTAAAAAATGAACGAAAGCAGAAGGATAAAAATCAAAAGGCTTACCTGGCTCAAAGTCTCTGCAAGGTCTTCTTCATTAATTTTTATTCTGCCTTGTGATCCAGTTCTGAATTCAATATTTTTGGCAGAGCCAGCATGGAAAACTAAATTGCCTCTTTCTGAGGACATGCGAGGCCTGGTGTGTCAAGGGAAGAAGAAGACACATGGTGAAAAGTTCTCCAGAGACTTTAATAAACTTAACTCTATATTCAAACCACCCCATCAAAAAAGATCAAGTGTTGCACTAAGAATGATGCTTACTGTGCCTGATTGATCTCCCTTTTCAGTCTGTTTTTTCCAGTAGAATCAGAGCCATAATTGAATCCCGAAATAATCAGCAATGCCACCAGAGTCCAAGGAAGAGAGTCCAGATACACCATTGCTCACTTCCAACCTTCTTAAGACTGAGCAAGTGAGTTAAAGTGAAATCTATGTTATCTTCAAGGATTAACTCAGTGCCACGTGTACTTTGCTCTTGAAGAAGACCTTGCATATTCACAGATCTGCTTCATCAGCTTTCTTCCCTGTGCCCGATCACTAGGAGTTAGGAGAACTATGGATTATTTATTAGCTGGGAAAAGCCGCTTGTCTGATTGGTGGTGTTTGAAGGAGCAAATCCTGGGACATATGCAAAGCATATGTTTTCCAAGATATATTTCCCTGGTGGAAGACACTTGGTCATGGTCCAAGTAAGAGCGGGGGCACTTCGAGTTTCCTTTGCATTGGGAGGCAACCTCCTTTCAGACCATGGGATCAACCACATTCATACTAAGGCTGCCATAGATACATGTATTGTTGTATTTTCCCTTAAAAATTGTAATTTAATATGGGGTCTTGGGCCCTCAATACTTCCCCAACCTGGTTCCGTTATGACTTTTGGACTGCAACTCCCAATGGCTCCAACTAACATATTCAACGGAGAAGGCTCATTATGTCAATATGTTATGCTTCCAGCATACACTGAAAAGATGTCTGAGTGGTTGTGGGAGAACCCCATTTTTCTTTTCCTTCAAAGCAAAAATAGCTGGGGGGGGGGGGGGAAGGTTGAGCTAACATATCCTATACAAAAATGTCCCCTATTTAAGCCAATAAGAGGAAGCTGCTTGCTGCTCCCTCCCACTGAGTTCTTTCAAAAACCCATCATATCTTGTATCACTGACCCAGCAGCATGCAATGCCATTGTATTGTTCAGACTAATGAGATGCAAATTAAAATTTATCCACATGAGTTTGGTCTTCCAGCCTCACAATGGTCCTTCTCTTCTTTGAATAACTGGAGTTTCAAGCGCATGTCATTTGTTTGGGTGCCAATGGAGTGTTGAATCCACTCTGGAGTTTAGTCTGAAGTTCAGAGGAGCTGTTTATTCAACTTAATTGAATGAATTCAATGAATATGTTGAAAAAGGTAGGTGTAGATATAGATTAGATCACACTGGTAGCAAGGCATGTGGTGGACGAGGAGAAAACCAGGGCTGCAAACTAAAGACGCTGTAAGTGGCATCAAGCAAACACAAACACAAAAAATAAACATTGTGGAATAAAGCTTTCCCCCACCCATCCTGCTTGTGCCAGAATGTTAAGTTTGTAAACATTTGGCACAATTTTAGAGTTGAAGGAAGAAGGAGCCAAGGACAAAAGGGGGAGGCTCGCTTGGAGCTTAATTAGATGAAGGACAAAGTGTTGGTAGGAAAGGAAAGGAACAGATCAGGAAAGCAGGCTCTGGAGTGGAAAACTCTGCGTCTCTGTACATCTAGCTTCAACACATGTAAGAAATTGTTTTCAAGTGACTTAAAATAGCACTGCTATTGAACATTTCATTGTCAAACCACTCTTCCCTGACCCCCACCATCCAAGACCATTGAACAATGAAACATAAAACATGTGCGCATACTGATGAATAGAACTGACTCAGGCAGCAATGCTTTGCCTTGATCTGCTGCTTTCCCCATAGAATAGTACGCTGGCATCACTGGAAGGGCCTCCAAAAGCAACTGGCTACCATGACTATAGTTTAGAAAACTAACTTTTGTGGTCTACAACTCCCAGAATCCCCCTTCAACATGGCCAGGATAGTGGTCCAAGGGCTAAATCCAATTGCTAGTATCAATTAGAACAGATTGACTCAACTGAACAGACTGACTCAATTGCTTTGCCTTGATCTCTTGCTTTCACCATAGAATGGTGAGCTGGCATTACCGGAAGGTTCTTGAAAAGCAATTGGCTACAATGAATATAGCTTAGAAAACTAACTTTTGTGGTCTACGACTCCCAGAATCCCTCTCAAACATGGCCAGGATAGTGATCCAAGGGCTAAATCCAATTGCTACTACCAATTAGAACAGATTGACTCAATTGAACTTCAGCATTGTGTATTCCTGCATAGCAGGGGTTGGATTGGATGGCTCATGTAGTCTCTTTCAACTCTAGGACTGATTTTCTAAGTTATCATTGATTAACAAGGGAGTCTATCCCAAGATTAGGGCAGTGGGGGGGGGGGGAGCACCATATTACCACGGTGTTAAGTCTCATAGCAAAATTCCTTCACCTGCAGAATTCTCCCAAGGTGAAAGTTTACTTTGATCAGGCATCAAAGATCATTAAATCCTTTCTGAAGTAGCACTATACAATGATTTCTTCTTTCAGTTATTAACTACAGGACTATATTAATTACTCGCATTATATTTAATTATACAGTCATAAATAATGGTTAAAGGAGATACGATAACTCTGTAGTAGAGCACATACCTTTTACAAATAAGGTTCCAGGTTCTCTAAACGAAAGGGTCACATAGCAATGCCTTAGTTCAGTGGCTCTCAGCCTGTGTGTCCCCAGATGTTTTGGCCTTCAACTCCCAGAAATCCTAACAGCTGGTAAACTGGCTGGGAGTTTTGGGAGTTGTGGGCCAAAACACTTAGGGATGCACAGGTTGAGAACCACTGCCTTAGTTTTGGATTCTGAAGAGCTTCTGTCAATCAGAGCAAACAATGCTGGGCTCAACAGACAAACGAGCTGTTATAAAACAATTACCTTTATTTATGTCCAGAAGTCTATGTGGTATTTGTGTAGCATACAGTCAAACAGCTTGAGTATTTATGAGGTGAGCTGAAAGTTGAGTTCTCTCTGTAGAATGCTGAGAGGGGAGTTGGGTCCTAGTGTAAAAATATATTCAGAACTGCAGTAGTGTTCGTGTTTTTCAAAAAATAATATGTGACAGCACTTTCTATTGCCATACCATTTCAAGACTCACCAGGACATATGAGGCAGACATATATAAACCTTACCTCAAGTTTGAAGGGTGCTTTGAATGTGATTTCCCTGCTTCTTGACAGGGGGTTGGATTGGATGGCCCAAGAGGTCTCTTCCAACTCTGGGATTATATGAGTCTTGTAAGATACACAATCAAGGATCTTGTGAAATCCTGAAACCTATGGGTAGCTTGGTATGGGGTGGACTTTCGCAGCAAAATGCATTGTTGTGACTATCCCTGTTGTTATGAAAAATATTTTGGAATTATTTAGTCTTATATGGACAATATATGTCAACTTTCCAAAAGTTTCTGATTTCTGGCGGAGATTAACTGATAGAATTGGTTTCTGGTCAACATAGCAGTTTTTTGAGAGAGAGATTTTTTTTTGAGAGTATCATGTTGAACACCAGCCCATCAGAACTGACTATGTTACTGGATAGCTCATGGACCCATGTATCTGGTGTTCCACTGATCAAGCAATGGGTGTCATCTGATCCAGAGTCATGTTGGAATATTGGGAGTTCATGGTGAGCACAGGTATTTCCAAGATGTAACTTGAATAAGTTCTGTTTCCAAATGACAATCAATTATATATTGGATTTGAACTAATAAGACGTGATAGGAGTATTTCATCATGTTCTAGCTAGGAGCTCCCGGTTGGCCATCACCTCCCCCAGCTCCTTCAGAGTCATCCATCCATCTTGCCCTTGGTCAGCCCCTCTTCCTTTTTCCTTCCATTTTCCCCAGCATAATTTTCTTCTCTAAGCTTTCCTGTCTCCTCATGATGTATTGGTGATATTAGCTGCTAGGATTTGCAGTACATTAATATCTGAAGACCTACATAATAATAATAATAATAATAATAATAATATACTTTATTTATATTCCGCTCTATCTCCCTGTGGGGACTCAGAGCAGATTACAGTATACACATATATAAGCAAACATTTGGTGTCTTTTATACAGTGAGCAATGACATACAATACACAAACAAAGGCAAAAGTTTCCCTTTCCATCTCTGGTGTCTAGAGGCGGTGCTCAACTCTGACCATGGGGAGATGCTCTTATTCCATTTTCCATGCTGAGGAGCCTGTTGTCCCTTCTGGTCATGTTTTGCTGGCATGGTTGCAGAGTGCCTTTTACCTTCCTGCCGAGGCGGTACCTATTGATCTAATCACATTACATGTTTTCGAACTGCTAGGTAGGCAGAAGCTAGTGCTGACAGTGGGAGCTCACCCGAATCTGCAGCTTCAAACTGCCAACCTTTCAGTCAGCACGTTTTTTTCTGCGGCCATTACAAAACAGTACTTGAACAATTAATAATAAAGGCAGTTCAGTTTGGCAAATATATTTCAAGTCTACTGATTTGCTCTTGGGCCATACCTCATGGACATTCTGAGTTCTGGAAAAAGTAACATGATTCTATTACTTAGAATAGAATCACTGAATTACTTAAGGCATAGACATAATGTTCTCCATCCTCAAATGTTGGACTGGGAAATAGGAATATAACATCAGAAGGAGACCATTGTATAATGGCTAAACCTCTCCTGGTAAGCTTTTTTTCATGGCATGCCAGGAAACTATGTGGATGTTAATCAACAATAGTAAAAACTAAAGCCAAACCTGGCAGTTACATAGAGCTTGGAAATGTTGCCTTTGGTTGATTAGGTGATTGTGGGAGTCCCAAAAAGTATTTTTTCCAGTGTTTACTCTTAGAAACATGTGCTCATTTATCGTTTAACAATCCATCCTCAAATGTGCACCAAAAGAAGATAAATTCTCATTAACTATAATTAGACACCCCAAAATTGAATGGTAATTATTTTGTGCGAAGAGTGATATTGCAAGAGTACAAGAGGAATAGCAGGGTTCAAACTCAGTTACTCATACCAGAGCATGCCTGGTACATCCACTGCTAATAAGAATGAAATCAAAGTCACCATTTGGTACACTCATTCACTGATCTGCACATTTTCCTTTCTATTATTATGAGGGGCTACTGTCTTTGGCTTTACCCAGAAAGAAACAAGATAAGAAGATTGCATTTATTCCACATACCCTCCACTGATATCAACACACTTCTTACATTGGTATTCCAAGTTCTGTAAGCCTTGCAAAAGGAAGGAGTTCAGTTGTGCCTCAAACCAGTCATCTGTAACAGCCATGGCATTAGAAATGCTGTGAAATTTGGTACCCTTGAGGTGTTTCTTCAGGTTTAGAAACAGATGATAGTCGGAGGGACCTAGATCTGGCGAATAAGGTGGGTGGTCAACTAGCTGGAAGCCTAGCTCCACCACTTTTGCCATGGTCACTTGTGCAGTGTGAGCGGAAGCATTGTCTTGCAGGAACGAGATGCCTTTGGACAGCTTGCTGCACCTTTTGGCCTCCAGAACTGCCTTCAGTTGGTCCAAAAGTTCAGTGTAATACCTTGCATTAATGGTGGAACCATTTTGAAGGTAGTCCACTAGCAGCACACCCTCCTTATCCCAGAACACAGATGCCATCACTTTGGTGGCTGATTTTTGCACCCTGAACTTCTTTGGATGAGGAGAACCACAGTTCCTCCACTCTTTTGACTGCTCCTTGGTTTCAGGGTCATACAAATAAATCCAGGTCTCATCCATAGTGATCAAGTCAATCCCGGAAGTTCTTATCAGTCCGGAAATGCTGACAAATGGATTGGGAAGTTTTCACTCACATTTTTTTTCTGATCTGTTATCAAACATTTGGGGACCCACTTTGCAGAGAGCTTCTTCATGTTCAAATGTTCATGGATAAAGACACAAACATGATCACAAGAAATCCCCATGATGTCTGTTATTCCTTTAGCCAAAATTCACCAATTCCCCAGTATGAGGTTGTGCACAGCGTCAACGATTTCTGGAATAACAACCACTCTTGGTCATCCAGGATGTTCCTCATCATTGGTGCTGAAGTGGCCTGTTTTAAATTTGGCAACCCAGCTCTCGACTGAATATGAAGGGCATTGATTCCCTCAATGTCTGCGACATATCACCATGAATATCCTTCACAGACTTTCCCTGCGGAAACAAGAAATTTATTTATTTATTTATTTATTTGATGCACTTATTAACCGCCATTCTCAGCCCTTACGGGCGACTCATTTTATCACTCCTCTGCTCTCATTTGCTGTGAATATCGCCTTAGACTCTGCCATTTTGTTTTCCCGCATGCCTAGATTACTCTTGCCATAAGTTACAAACACAAAATTTTGAAAACATGTATTAGACACATAAGCCTTTCATGTGATGTAACATTCATTACCATAGAAACAAAACAAGAACACAAAGCCAAAGACTTATCAGCAGCCCCTCATATTATTTAACCCATTAACAATTTTGGTGCATTTTCATATCTCAACCATGTAAGTAAAACATTGTCTGTCTAAGAATGCCCAGAAGGGTATGGTCTACATTACCAATGACAAAAGTTGGTATTGATTCAGAACTTATAAGCAGAAACCACAAGAGCACTTAAGAGGTTTCATGTATCTGAATAGCAAGATATATTGGACATCTAATGGGCTTTGATTTTAAACAAACTTACACAGGAAACCAAGCTGAATTTGATATTGAGAGCTCAGTCTGCTGCAGGGTGAAAAAGAAATCTAAACAATTGTGTAATCCATAGAAGAAAAATGGAAAGCGGAAAATGAAAGCAGTATGTCAGACAGAAATTAATTGATGGATAATCTACTTTGCAGATATTTTACTTTGGAAAACTGATCCCCATAAACACAAGCTAATTAAAGATTTTAGCCAAAGGATTTAGATCTGTCTCCATCTTGGATATTAAGACTCCTTGGGACATGACTGGCTGGAAAACGTGATGAGAATTGATTTGTGACAAGAATGCCTGTGACAGAGGATTGACTATGGCTGCATCCATTCCATTTGGTTTTCCGTTCCTTATATCCAAATCATTCTGTGACCTTAAGGTGTTTGTACTCAAGAGCTATTGATTTTCTAGACACAAAAAGTCACAGAGCCACACACATATATGCAGACTTTTCAATATGCTTTGCAATTTTGCTATTTTGCTCTGATTGTACTGGTATCTCTCTCTTCCGTGTGGATTATAGTGTTTTGGCTATGTAAGTAACAGCACTCACATCTGTCCATTAGAAACGGGGGGGGGGGGGTAATAGAATATTTCTGTACACCAGGTAAGATTACTTGTTGACCCTAACAGCACTTTACCATCTCAAGACAATCATCCCCCAATTACCAGTACCTGATCCCATTTCAAATGGATTCGAACTTGGAGTATCCCACATATAAAGCTTCAGTTTGAATGAGTGCATTCACCCATATTCAGGCTGAATTAGGATTGCAAATTCTCTTTCTTTTAAGCACATCTTCAGCATCTATATGGGATAACAAGGTCTTCTCAGTACTGGGAACAGCTATACATACTGCTTTTGGTTACACAAAGGATTGGATATCATTCTATTTCAGCTTGTTTTGAAATAATTCACCAACATTTCCAAATGCCTTCTTATTCAGGGTGAACAGAAATTGAAATTTGGCTAATCTGGATGCAGGAATAAGCAAAACCAACAGATTTTCTCATGCCTAGAATGTGCTAAGCTGTACTAACAAATCCCTTGATGGATTGTCACCTTGTCGTGGTGAGGGGCTTGTGGGTTCCAATGAACCTGTGGGCATAACCACTGAAGTCATGTACTTGGGGGGGGGGGCAGGGGAGGTTCAAGACCAAGCGCAATCCAAAGACCTCAACTGCAGATCAGTGGAAGATAACATGGTAGACAGTACAATGGCTGTGAAGGCAGAAGAAGGCTGCAACAGATTAAGAAGCCACAGTTGTCGTGTTAGCCATGCCACTGTTTGGGACCCTCACTCTGTGAAGACTGTGTGTTGATCGGCTGTGCACTACCTTCACACATTAAAAACCTCACAGACGCACAGGTGTCTTCCAAGAATTTGGAAGGCCATCATACTTAGACAACGAGGAATTGTCTAACAAAACAATATTAGCAAACTACAATTCCCATTTGACATGTGATGACAACTACAGTGATATTTAAAAGGAAAGAGTGTGGTCTTCTTATCCAAGATATTAAACGATTATTACTGTTTTTGAGTGACTGTTATTGAGCATTGGACTAGGACTTTGGGAATCCAGGGTTCAAATCTCCACTCCACCATAGAAACTCACTGGGTCATCTTGGGCAAGTATCAGGGTGGTTAAAAGTCAGAAATGATTTGAGGCACACAGCATGTATGGCTATTACTCTTACAAAATTGTTTTATTTAATTAAAAAACTAGTCCCTTCTTTCACTTGAGCTTAGATGTAACCGAGATGTCTTATAATCAAATTTAAACATTTTTTTCATTGCAACATTATAATTTCATTTTTTCGTTGACAAACCACAGCTTCAGTGCTCACAAATTACAACACAACATAGTCAGTAACAGCTGATATTGTCATAAATTGTATGACAACTAAATAAGATGGGAAGCATCAAGTCTAAATCCAACTGCTTGCCATCACAAAAGTAGAACCAGTGAATCCATAGGATTTATGTGTTACCTTAAAATTCAACAATTAATTTATTCAGTCAACTCTAGGTGGAATTAACAATTGGATTTGGGATTTTTTCTTTTCTTTTGATAAACACCAGAAATGGAAGCTAATCACATTAGCAGACACACAGATGCATCACAGTGATCACTTTTATTCCATTTGCAAGGATTCAGCTGGTAGTCTCTTGTTGTAGGATGCATACAAGATAGATCATCAGTCCAGGTTGCATTCCCACATTAACCAACCAGTAATGAGATTAATTTAGCAACTACGTGTATGTTGAGACTGTTTCCAAGCAGACGGTATTGCTGTTTTGTGGTTACTTTGTCAGGAAAACCTAAAACAAAACACAATTGATACTTTAAAAAACAATCAAATGCAAGGCTATTACCTATCCTCTCAATCATACAAATGCTCACAATTCCAAATCCAATGACTGGTTATTGCTATATATTAGTGGTTCCCAACCTTTTTTTGACTTGGGACCACTTGACCCGGGTCCAGTTTGACCAGGTATCACTTGACCAGGAACCATTTTGACTAGGGATCATTCTCCAACATTAATACTAAAAAGGGTTAGAAATCAGTTTTTGGTCAACTTTAGATTCAGTTTGGTTATTTAGGGGAGTGAGTCAGAAAATTGCATTGGATAGACCACATCAGCTCTAGTTCCTGATGCAGAACATATGCCATCCAGTAATCACCATCTGCTCACCCACATAAAACCATATTTAGTGATCTAGAGCTCATGTGATAGTACTAATCTTTCATGAGTAGTCAGCCTCTCCCCTCCTAACATCCCCGTTGCTTTGGAACTATAAGAGGGTTTTGTGAGACCAGTCGCTCTTGTTGCCACATAGTTTCGAGGCAGCAGTGTAGTAATAGTGAGGCCACAGACCATATTTTTGTTCTTGCAGATCACTGGTGGTCCACAGACCACAGGTTGGGAACCATTCCTATATTTGTATGTCAATGTAATCCTATAAATGTCTACTTTGAAGTAAGTAGCACTCAGTTGGAAAACTTGGAAATGTTGTGCACGAGATTGATACATAGAGCTTGGTGCAGGAAACAAATTGAAAAACTAACATATAAAGTTAGCCTAGGAAAGGAAGAAATCAAAGATGCATTTTAAGACATCTGGCAGTTTTTTTCTTGCCTATGTTATTTGTTTTAACTCTGGATTTAATTATTACTTGATCAAGCAATTTAATGGCTTAGTGTTTTTGAAAAATATAATACACAAGCCACCAATTAAGATTCGAAAGAGCAACTATATTTGTAGTGACTGACAATGGGTTATATATCAAGACACATCAATTAAGAATTTGAGTTTTGTTTTTGTTTTATTTTCGTGTCAGGAGCGACTTGAGAAACTGCAAGTCGCTTCTGGTGTGAGAGATTTGGTTGTCTGCAAGGATGTTGCCCCGGGGACGCCAGGATGTTTTGATGTTTTTATATCATCCTTGTGGGAGGCTTCTCTCATGTCCCCGCATGGGGAGTCGGAGCTGACAGAGGGAGCTCATCCGCGCTCTCCCCGGATTTGAACCTGCGACCTGTTCAGTCCTGCTGGCACAGGGGTTTAACCCACTGCGCCACCGGGGGCTCCAAGAATTTGAGTGAGAAAGACAGCTGATTATAATTCTATTTGTAAGGGAATAACACAATTTAACAATGAGAATAAGATAAAGGGATACAGAACAAGATTTTCTGTTTATTCTAGAAATGTATATCCAACTGCATAATATTGCAGTTTATATCCAGCCTTATATACAAGTATATACAATAGTATACTTGATTTGAATGCATCTTGCTCCCAGGCATGTGAGTTTACAATTATATTGCAAGTCCTCCATTTCGTTAAGTCTGCTCCATGCCCCATAGGACTAATTTGAAATATCAGCCTGTCCTTGGCACAGCCCTATTGAGGGGAAAGTCCTTGGTTTCCTGCTGTTTCATATCCAGTGCACACAAAGTATGTGATCTATGAAGTAAGGGAAATCCAGTATGTACCAGATTGACTCTATGGCTTTCAATTTAGTCAGCTTTGCTCCACTGAAAAGTGGTTCATTCAGGAATGTCCCTATTTTAGGGAACAGCTTGTCTTGCTTGCCATTGCTTTGCTCTTTGGCAAAGAATGTGTTTGCCTTGTTTGGAGTAATTTTTCTCCCTGTTATATTCACATCCAGTGAACTGTGGCCAAGCTTGATTGAAGTCCTAAATGCTCTGCTCTGAAAAGTTGCAAGTGAAAATGGAAAAACAACACCTTCTTAAGCCTTCTCTTTTGCTCCTGCACATTTCAATTTTCCCCTTACTCTTTCGCCACCAGATATTAAGACCTACAGTTTTCAATATTGGCTTTGCTTACTATGGGTGATTGAAACTGCAGTCCAACAATATCTATAGGGTCATATTTTGCCAACCCTATTCTATCCTTAGAAAAATAATTAGATCAAATGTTGTCGAAGGCTTTCATGGCCTGACTGCTTCCTGCCTTACTGCTGCCTGCCTGGGGGATCCTTTGTTTGGAGGTGTTAGCTGGCCCTGATTGTTTCCTGTCAGGAATTATCCTGGCTACCAGTATTTAAAAAATAAGGACACTAAATAAAGAGGGACACGCAAACAACAGGGGAATTCCTGACATGAAACTATCAGGGCTAGGTAACACCTCCCAACAAAGGATTCTCCCAGGCAGGAAGCAGTCAGGCCTTGAAGCTGCAAGGACATTAAATGCTAATCATTAAGGTGGCCAATTGCAACATTCACACTTGCTTCAAGCAGACAAGAGTTCTTTCTCTCACCCTGGACATTCCACAGATATATCAACCTCACTTGCCTAGTTTCCAAAAGAGCTCACAACCTCTGAGGATGCTTGCCATAGATGTGGGTGAAACATCAGGAGAGAACACTTCTGGAACATGGTCATACAGCCTGGAAAACTCACAGCAACCCAATTAAATCAAGGGTTGAATAAAAACCCTTTTTGAATAATCTGGTGTCACTCTGTTGAAAGCTAGACGCAGGTGCAAGAACATGCTGGTCAATCTTAATGGTGTTGTTTCTACAATCTTAGGAGACCTATTATACTAATGACAATAAAGCAATTAGAAGAGTTTATGACCCTATATCACAGCTCCCTCTCTCACATCCGAAAGGAAGGGCCACCAATAAATCTCTTCCTAATCTCCAAAGAGACTAAATTGTGGAGATGAAGTGCTTTATGCTCTTCAAAATATACCACAAAGTGGACCATAATTTAGAACTGCTATAGTTATTGCTAGACTTAGCTGCATAAAGTTGCCCATGTGGTTAGTATATAGGATGTGACTTAAAGCAATGCACGTGCCATTATTTAAAGGCCTGGCCTCTATTTCACAGGGTAAATTAATAGAATTAAGTACCTTGAGGTTCCAGCAACAGTCATGCCAAATTCTCTTTACAAGACCATGGAACTAGTTATAATGTAGAACATTTGCTGGTAGCAGCCAAATCATCTAGTGCAGTGGTTCTCAACCTGTGGGTCCCCAGATGTTTTGGCCTTCAACTCCCAGAAATCTTAACAGCTGGTAAACTGGCTGGGATTTCTGGGAGTTGTAGGTCAAAACACCTGGGGACCCACAGGTTGAGAACCAATGATCTAGTGCCTTTCAGTGGAAGAAAGCAATTGTTCTCCTATTCCAAATCATTCTTCTGCTTGAGGCAAAGGACAAGATGACACCCCCTCTCCATTCCTCATTCAGAAGCTGATTGGGATGGCAATTGATCTGGATGGTATTCTTCACAACATCCCGACAGCAGATTAGTTTAGGGCAAGGATCCCCAACCTAAGACCTGTGGGCCGATGCAGCTCTCCAAGCATGGAACGCCTCCAAGGTCGCATACCCAATTCACACTCTAAATTTTAGACATAGGGTCACTCTAAGTCTGAAATTACTTCAAAGCACACAACAAGAATCCTAATTAACTTGACTATCTCATCAGCCAAAAGCAGGCCCACACTTCCCATTGAAATGCTGGTAAGTTTATGTTGGTTAAAATTGTTCTTCATTTTAAACATTGTAGTATTCTTTCATGTATCTTTTTGCACTACCAATAAGACAATGTGCAGCCTGCATAGGAATCCGTTCATGTTTTTTTTCAAATTACAGTTCAGCTCTCCAACAGTGTGAGAGACTGTGAACCAGCCCTCCGCTCAAAGAGCTTGAGGTTTAGTGAGTTAATCATGTAGCACCGAATACTCTCCTTCCAAAAAGGAGAGGACCATCAGGAGAGCAGAAAGTCATGGTTGAGATCCCACCCGTGATGTGTTTCAACACAAACAAGCATGTCCAGAGGACTTCAGAATAAGATTAGCCCATTTTTTTCCTGGCAATACCTTCATTGCTATTGGGAGGCACTCTATTTTGCCCACCCCCCATGTAGTTGATATGTGCATATGTATTAAATAAGCAACACACGTACCAAATTCTGGAGGAAATCCATGTAGATTTGCTATTTCTCTTGGGGTAAAGTACCGCAGTTTAAGCAACGACAGCTTCATAAGCTTCTCCTCTTCAGATAAACTCTCAAAGGATTTAAATACAGATTCAAGCTGCAGATAATAGGGAAGTTCAGGGTATATGAGGATTTTATAATAGTCTTTCCAACCTGCATTACTCAGTGGCTTGTAAGAGCCCCAAAAAACATCTTCAGCAAAACTGAGCTGATATTCTTATATCCCACCTTAATAATAATAATAATAATAATAATAATAATAATAATAATAATCTTTATTTATACCCCACCACCATCTCCTCAAAGGGGATTCGGGGCAGCTAACATGAGGCCAAGCTCAAAAGTTACAATACAGCAAAGTAAAATACAACAAACAAGTAATAATATCAAAATAAAATGCAAACAATAATTAGTATACAATAAGCAAACACAAACCTTTCTCCTAGCTTGTGATGCAAGATGGCATAGAAGGTTTTTAAAAGCACAATACAGTTAAAACTCTTAGTACAAAAGTTAAAACCAACCTGAGTTCCCTCGGGGAGATATGTCAGGATATAAATAATGTATTATTATTATTATTATTATTATTATTATTATTATTATTATTATTAACAATATAATTAAACTAAAGTTCAGATTTTTAAAAAATCCAAGTTAAAATCAGGATTAAAGACATTTTAAATGAAATAAAATAAAGTACTACACATTGTTTATGAAAAGTTCTATATGCTGCAGTGTATCAAAAATCAAATGCCTCTTTATACAAGAAGGGAGTTCTTGGGAACAGCCACAAAAAAGACCCTTTCTTGTCTTCACCAAAACAACAAAATGTTAGGACCAAAAAAGCCATAGAGGGAGGGTATAGTTTTTTAAATAGTCTGAATCCAAGCTGTGTAGGCTTTAAGAATCATAGGGTTTGAAGTACTTTGAAGATAAAACCAAAGGTGTAGCTTAAGTTTCTAAACTAAAGCTGATCCTTGTGGCTTGATTCCGGGATCCACAATGAATACCCATGGATGATCAGGTCCCATTATATATGATGGTGTATCCAATTCGTTGTAAAGCAATGTTGTAAAGCAACAGCAAGATTATCCTTCTGAGCAGATAAACCAGGAAATCCCAACTGGATGCCCCCCCCCCCCAAGGGGCTTCCTCCAAAGAATGGGAAACTTGGAAGTCCCTGAACAGACTCAGAAGTGGAGTGGAAAGTTCAAAAGACAACTTGGCTAAATGGCACTACAGTGTTCCCTTACTTATCGCGGAGTTCCGTTCCAGGACCACCCGCAATAAGTGGAAATCCGCGAAATACGGATGCCATATTAATATATATATATATATATATATATATATCCCAGCCCATCCCAAGGCTGCCTGCCTGCCTCCCAGGCCTCCGCAGACCCTGGCAGAGCCTTCAGAACCATGCAGGCAGCAGCAGGACAGGGAGGCAGGCCTTCACCACCGTGCCTCAGGCCACCGCAATTCTAAGGTCTCTGGCCTCCACTGGACATAAATATTATATTTTTTTATTAATATTTTCAAAAACCTGCAAAACAGCAAGTCCACTAAAAGCGAACCATGTGGTAGCAAGGGAACACTGTACCTTGAAGAATCCTGCACCTTATGCGACTGTGGAGCAGAACAAACAACTCCGTATCTATATGCTAGTTCACAATGCCTTGCCTCATGCAAAGAGGAAGAGTTGTGTAAAAATACAGACAATGTGGTCGCTGTTGACCGATTTGGGTCTAAAATTATTTAGCCAGTTGTGCTCCCCCTGTTTTAACTGTTTTATACTATTTATGTAATGCTTTTGACACAAAATAACTAAATAAACCAATTGGTGTCCTTTATATAAAATGCTTTTTTTAAAAAAACAACACTTTCATGCCATGAATCTGTGGATACTGCATGCCCTAAAAATTTCGACAAACAAATCCCTTCTGCACAGAAGCAATTTACAGGTCCCTCACCCCCATTTCTCACAGCTTAGCTAGGAGATGGGAAGAAGATAGAAATCTGATATCTGATCACAAGAAAACCTGTGATCTCATTTTCTCTTGTCTGCTGGAATGACATGTGGGGGTCTATAGTTCAGTTTTATAACTGTAAAATAGCTCTTTCATGGGTTCAATGATGTACTGTGCACAGTGCAGGTTTCTATGACAATTTCCTTCAGTGGTGAGAAACATCACTAAACACAAACACATCACATCTTTCCCTGATGCAATTTATATATAACAGTTAGGGCTCAATTTTTCTGTTGAGTTGATCACAAAGTGTTGCTTGCGATCTAACTCAAAAACAGCACAATACTCTTATTCAAAAGATAGCATGAGCCCCAAAACCTGAACTTTGTGGAACAGCTTAAAGGGAGTCCCAATTTTTTTAGAGTTTTAAACAACACAATCCTTGCAAGAGCTAGCAAAATGTCTTGTCTGCACTGCTTTAGGTCCAAATATTTGCAGAGCATGTAGAAAAAGTTGTGAATTATGTATGATCTGAGTATCAGGCCAATGCAAAATTCTATACTAGTCTTCCTGCAAAGGCATTCCTATGACTTTGTTGTAATTCTTACAGAACAGTATTTCAAAATCTCTTCAGATTACTTGCATCTTTCTTTAACTGACCGATTAGCTTTATCTGTTGTTAATGTCGAAATGATTACTGCAATAGTTTAGAAAAACTATCACATTGCCTTGTTCATATGACAGGTTGATTTCATCACTTTTGATTTTTTCTTTTTGTTGGCCAAACTGTAAGAAGCCATGGTTACAGAAACTAAAACTAACGAACCCTGTAGTGACGGCAAATACTACAGAAAATCCTGGGAAATAAGGCTAGGAAGAACAATGTAAAGTGTCAGGGTGCATCTACACCAGGGGTCCTCAAACTTTTTAAACAGAGGGCCAGGTCACAGTCCCTCAAACTGTTGGAGGGCCGGATAATAATTTGAAAAAAAATGAATGAATTCCTATGCACACTGCACAAATCTTATTTGTAGTGCAAAGAACAATTTTAACAAATATAAATTTATTCGTATTTCAATAGGAAGTGTGGGCCTGCTTCTGGCTGATAAGACGATTGTTGTTGTTGTTGTTGTTGTTGTGTGCTTTCAAGTAGTTTCAGACTTAGGTTGACCCTGAGTGAGGGCCAGGTAAATGACCTTGGAGGGCTGCATCCGGCCCCCGGGCCTTAGTTTGAGGACCCCTGATCTACACTGTAGAATAAATGCAGTTTGATATCACTTGAACTACCATGGCTCAATGTTACAGAATCCTGGGAATTGTTGTTTACAAGGCACAAGCATTCTTTAGCAAAGAAGGTTAAAGATCTTTAAAATCAGACCTTATGCTGAACTAACAAAAATACTTATAATCTGGATATTATACCTGGATATCTTCCTCTGTCTGCAACACCGAGCCAGTTCCTTCTATATAGTGCCCATACCTTTAAAAAAATCAATTAAGATACATACATTAAGATTCCTCTGAGACTGCCAATATTGATGAGTACACAGTTTTAAAGAACAGCACTCAGAAATAATAACAGCTGTCTGCAAAAGATATTATTTTTCAATGTACCCAGCCTGAGGTCTATATGATTGAGTGGTGTAATATAAAATAAAATGCCATGCTTTGCATCCATTCCAAATGGGTCATGTTCCCAAATGCTGTAACATGTACGCACACTGATTTCTTTTATCATTCATAATCTAAATTCCACAACTAGTTCAATCTAAAATAGAATCACTGAATCAATATGTTTTGCATTAAGTCTGGCTTACTCGAATTGGGACTTAACATGGGATTTATACCTCTGTTTCATTTCAAAAGACTCAGACCAATGAACTCAAATAGATGCTGCTCTTCATCAACATGTTGGTTTCAGAAAAGACCAAAATAAACAACCATCAAATGCCCATAGTTAACAACAAGAAGTATTTTTAAAATGATGGTATCCCTCTTACGAAGCCAATGTGGTTTTATATGTAAATACACGTATTCCTCAGTCTTTTTCAGGCTGTCATTTAACTTAATTATAGGAGAACCAGAATGTAAGAAGCAGGCTGAGGTTACTTGATAAATACTATGTAGGCACCGGCTGAAGAGGCTGCATGGAGGAGGGATTAAAATATATTTTATATATAGCAATATATATAGATAGATCTAGATAGATCTAGATATAGTAAAAACATACATAAGAGCAAGTAGTGAGTTCTGGACTAGGACATGAAAAAAGCAATGTAAATTGTAATATTCAACAGACACTAAAAGAACTTAGCTGAAATTCCCAGTCTAATTAGATGTAAATGCATTTAGGTAATTTTACACTTGGACATAATGGGAAGAACTCTTTTTATTTATTTACAGCATTTATATTCTGCCCTTCTCACCCTGAAGGGAACTCAAGGCAGATCACAAAACACACATACATGGCAAACATTCGCTGCTGTTAAACAGACAGGATAGACAACAGATAGAGGTATGACGTCAGCATTCCCCCCCCCCCCAACTTTGGCATCCTGGAGGTTGTGCTCAATTTCGGCCACAGTGGGTGCTGTCACTCCATCCTCTATGATGAAGAGCCTTGATCACAGACTTACTCCTTCCTTTGATTACCGGCATTTTCTGGTATTTCTTTTATGGTAACTCCCCACTTAAGCGGTGCCTAATTTCTCTACTTACAGCTCATGGCTATTTTCCATCTGCTTAGGGGGATAGTAAGCTGGGCTGAAGGTCTGATGCTCACCCTGTCCCGGGCTTCAAACTGCCAACCTTTTGATTGGTAAGATCTATTGCTGCTGGTGACTAACCAGCTGTGCTAAAGCCTGGCATCTTTTATATAGAACATTTACAATGTATCTTTATTTTTTAATTAAGAAATCTAATAAATGAGCTCTGCTCGCTTCTTATTAAATTTAGCAATGCCCTAGACTTGGGCCTTAGTATCCTACCTTGTAGTAGTAACAGTATAATGAAGACTAATGAGGACTGGCTGCCAGTTTGCCTCCAGGAATGATTTGAAAGTGCTGGTCATGACTTATAAAGCCCTATATGATTTAGATTCAGGTTATCTGAAGGTGCATCATGCAGTTTAATACCACTTAATCTACCATGACCCAATACTATGGAATCATGGGGGCTGTAGTTTGGCGAGGCACCAGCACTCTGTAGTAGAGAAAGCTAAAAACTTTACATAATCACATCTTGTCTGGAATGAATATGCATTGACGACTGAATTTGAAAACTATTCAATAACTTATGTAAACCTCACATTTGTGAAGAATAGATTCTCCAAAAGCTGATCCATAAACAGACATTGGGAAGCTGAGGTGGGTGTGCTTGAAGGCTAACACTTCGTGAGGAGAAATATGTTCTAGTTTCTGCTAACTTCTACACTGCCTATAATCCAGATTATCAAAGCAGAAAATCATATTATCTGCTTTGAGCTGGATTATATGAGTCTACACTGCCATATAATCCAGTTCAAAGCAAATAATCCAGATTTTATATGGCAATGTAGAAGGGATTGTTACTGTTTTAAGCACCTGCAAAGAAGAATGTTTCTCCTGGTGTATAGATAATAATTGCTCACACTTTTTCAGAGAAACTTACCCTTTTGTGAAGCATGTGGATCTCCTACAAGAGGGTGTAACAATGTCTAGAAGGAGAGCATAGCGCAGCAAGGATTTGGGTGGCAAGAAGTACTGACTCAGTTCTTCTCCATCCCCTTGAAGGAAATTCCTTAGCATTTGCAAAGAGGGATTGTTGTCCTGTTGCTGCTTCCTTTCCAGTTCCTCCTCTGTTTCAAGCTTGAATAGGAAGTCCCTCTTTGAAGAATGTCCATCCTTATCATCAGAACTAGAGACTGTCTCTTTTGTAGGCAGTGGGGAACCAGCTTCCATCAAGCCTGCACTACATCTGGGCCTCTCTGAATCGGCCTGATCTTGGTTTGGGAAATCTGTTAGGATCTAACATTGAATAAGGAGAAAGGAAAGAAGATATTGAACAAATGTACATCCTCTGTAGTTCTCTGAACATTTTATCAAGCTGTTTGGAATGAAATATTATGTGATTTATTTCACTAAAAACTGCATGTACAGTATATATTTGAATAGTACCCCATTCTGGGATCACTTAACCTACAATCCAATTGCTAGAGTGGATCTAGCAAATCATCTTCCAAAGACAACACTTAATATAAAATTCCATTGGTTCAACTGCTTTCTTCCATCCAGCTGGATATAGCAACTGGATTTGGACCAAAGATTTGGAAAAGACCACAGGCAGTTGTTGTGGAAACAAGGATTGGTGGTAAAGCTTTAATGGTGACACTTTTCCCCCATGATAACTCTTTCAGGAGTGAATTTCCCTTCCAAGGGGTAGATTTCTCTCATTTCCCGTTGTCTCACCCTTGTTCTTAACTGTGAGTCATTTGTAAGTTTGATGTTTGTAACTTGGGGACTACCTGTACAAGGGCTATCCACTTCAACCCCCAGCTATAGGTTAGCTTTCAGAAACACTAGTTGATACAACAATATGTAATGATTTTCAAATGAACTGTAGTCTCCAACATCCCAGTGAGAATAGGGTGAGAAGGGCAGGGTGAGAAGGGCAGAATATAAATGCTGTAAATAAATAAAAAGAGTTCTTCCCATTATGTCCAAGTGTAAAATTACCTAAATGCATTTACATCTAATTAGACTGGGTTGTAGACCTACACATTTGAAAGGACCTAGTAGGATGGTTTAAACCATAAGACAATAGGATTTTTTAAATGGAGGAATTAAAAATACAACTTCCTACTTAAGTAGGTAAAGACTGTCTCCAAGCTGGTCAGTCACACACACTCAAATTGGAATTGGAGGCCAGGATGACTGAAATGCTTATAGTTGTTGAAATAGTAAAAGGATTGGCTCACCTTGCCAGGTACATGAAAGGGAAAAGGTTTGGTCTGAAGGCGTGCAATCAAGAAATACCTTAGTCTTGCATTTGGGATGCCAAGCTACCAAAAAAAAACCCCAGTGAGAAAGCAATATGCACTACATAGGCAACAACTGTCAAGTTATCTATACAATAACACTACCCAAGTTGACTCAGGTTTTCCCTAGTATCACTATGATGCAACTGCCATACATTTTAAACAGCCTTGTTTGGAAAAAGAAAACACATAGTGCTCTGGAACCTTTTTAATAGGTTTACACTATATACGTATTCAAACCAGAATGTGAAAGGTTGTTTTGTGCCAGAACGGGATGTAGTTCCAAGATTCTGCAATAGCTATTTCTGATATACATCATTGCTGTAGCATAAGCTTTATTAGATTTCTGAGCATTCTTCAAAATGATACAGAAAAGGATATACAGCTGTGAAGCATACCGACCCTTTCACTGATGGGCTCCAGTATCCCCTGACAGCCAAAGCTAGAACTATGGGCTTTCAAATTAATTCTATGCAGATTATATCTGGCTGATGATCAAATTCCTCATCTCTGGCTACATGGAATCTTGGATTGCCTCCCACCAAGGAGAGGCCAAGGGTCATACAGTGCAGAAGTAAACAATATCTAAACCTGCAAGCCTGGCCCATCTCCTTCCACCTATAGTTATGAGAACTGTGTAAGTAGTTTAGTAACAGAAGGCAATTCAATCTCCCAATCTGTTCTCAGCTTTCTGATCTTTTTTTTAACATCCTCAAACTGCCAAGATGTGTGAAAAGTATCTAACACTGTGACTAGTAAAAGTTGAGTTTTTCTCTACAATAGACATCTGCTGATGTTAGCCTATGATGCCAACAGTTAGGACAGTGATCTAACACTGAATTGCCAACTCCCAAACCAGACTATGGTGTTTCTTCAGTGGTAATGGAAACAGGAGAAGGGGGCAGAGTTAGAGGAAGAGCAAATGGATTTGTGTTTGCTCTATTGGTATATTCTATCTCATATGTGGATAATGTACATGCAGACAAATGTGGTGAAATATCACCACATTTGGACTGCAATTTGGAAGTGCCATTGAGCTAGGATTAATAATTTTTTAAAAAATGAGAGTACTCACGCAAGTTGGCGACAACAGAAATTCTTGATACATAAATCCACACTTGTCAAGTGTTTTTATAAGTTCATCTCTGACAGTAAAAATAAGACAGAAACATACAAGTCATTGTGCTGATGGCCTGTCTAAAGCTGTCCTGTTTACAATGGGCTGGACACTGATTCAGTGATATTTACAGTAGTAGACCTATAGAAATCAATGAAATTTAAGACGCATTAATTTCAATGGGTCTGAGTATTACTGAAATCTAGACCCAGGCATATATTTAAGTTAGTTAATTGTTACATTAACTCTCTTTGCCATGAAAGCTGCACCTACTACAATTCTGACAGAGAGCCATGAGACCTCTGCTTAAGTCTATCTCCCACAGAAGATACCCCAATGCCTTAATTTAAAAAGCTCTCACTATTACGAAGTTTCTCATAATAATTAACCGCACCCTGTTCTCATGGTCCTAAAATTTTGAAATGGCATTTCCCCCAGTCAATCTTTCCCTTCCTGACAACTTGTAAGGGAAAGTTATATGTTTAATTCCACCATACCTGGCTGAAGATGTTTCAAAACCTTTGACGTTTTCCAAAAGTAAATATTTTGGCAGCTTTGCAAGCCTGCAAAATGAATTGCTTGAAGTTTAGTTATAAGACAAAAAAAACTGGATCAAACTAAGCATTTGAATTCTTTGTGCTCTAAACTATATTTCAATGTACACCATTGTTTACAAGAAAAGAAAACAAAAACACATCATTCCGAAGGTCACTAGGCCCAAAACAGAAAGCACATTAAGCCATATCTCAGTGGCACACAAGAGTTGGGGGAGTCCAAAAAAAGATTACAACTGTGTTGGTATTTCCAGATAACCTCATCCACCCCAGACAGACTCTCTCAAGGGGGGGGGGGTGTTTTAAATGCTACTTTAGTGCAGATGAGAACATAGAACTAAAGAGGCAGTATCCAAGGTGGCACATTTCAGTGTCTTGGCCCAAAAATTATAACAAGAACGATTTTGTCCTGGGGACTATTGCCATTTCATTTGTGTAATAATGATACTAGTGTACCCTTATTATACTAGAGCATACTAGAGGAGAACCATGCCATATATACCTGTAAGGGTTGGTTTTGTTCCCCATAAAGGTAAAGGTTTCCCCTTAACATCAAGTCTAGTCATGTCTGACTCCGAAGAGCTGGCATTGTTGTCCATAGACGCCTCCAAGATTATGTGGCCAGCATGCCTGCATGGAGTGTCGTTACCTTCCCACAGTACCTTTTGATCTACTCACATTTTCATGTTTTCGAACTGCTAGGTTGGCAGAAGCTGGGGCTAACAGCGGGAGCTCATCCTGCTCCCCGGATTTGAACTACTGACCTTTTGGTCAGCAAGTTCAGCAGCTCCGCGATAGAACCCGCTGTGCCACCGGGAGCTCCCTTGCTCCCCATACCAGCTCGAATTAAAATTTCAATTTTGTTAAAATGAAGGATCACAAGTTATAATTTAATTGAAAACTCTATTCAAAATTTTATTATTTTCAGTCCAAGGTTAGAACCTAAGCTAAATCAGGTCAGGAAACATGAGGTTTCTGCATGGTTCTAGACTATAACACCCATCATCCTTGATACTTTGCCAAGTTGAATGAAACTGCAAAGAGTTAGGATCCAACCATGTCCAGAACATATGATGTCATTTTATTCGCAATTAACAATCTAGGCAGTTAAGGGGTAAAACCAAACTTTGGTTGTCTTGACACGCAACTCCTTTCAAACTGGATCCTGCTTTCACTATTTCATACTGTTTAGCAGCAATCCGGAAGGCAAGATCCATTGTAGGGTGTTATCTTTCACTTGCAGAAGTGAAAGCCTCTCCCTAGCATAAAGTAAAATAAATTTAAAATAAATATCCTAGTTGAGAAATGCATTGTTTGGGTTATAACAGGTCACAGCACTTTGTAGTATTGTATATTATCAGCCACTCATCACAACTAGATTGTCCTGTGGCTGAGCTCTCTTTAATACTGTCATCAAGTATTAAAAGCAGTGGCGGGTGGGGGGAGAGGGACAATCATCCAGGAATGTTTTATTGATGCAATACTCTGCCCTTGGAAGTTACCTTGGAAGAATATCAAGAATGTAGAGAAAACTCCGGGTCCTAGGGTCAGAAACATCTCCCTGTCGGCCAATTCTACAAAGAAAAAAAGAGCAGGAATCAAAGTAGGAGCAAATATGTCCAACTTAGGACACTCAATTCATATAGCAAAATGAACTGGCTTTCATTCCATATACATCCTGCATCTAAATCAAGATTCAGATATATTGTCTTGTTGGGGAATATGCAGGGAAAGATTTTAATTTTTGTAAATGAGCCCACAAGCAAGTTATTTATGTTGATAAGTGAAACTGGAATTGTTTTCCTTTAATCTTGTGCAAATTCAGATATTATTCATAATTTGTTTTGTTTAGTAGACCCAACAAGAGGATGCTACACAGCCACCATAGCTGAAAAAATACTGGTTGAACATCTCTCATCCAGAATCCAAAATAAACCAAAATCCAAAATGGTCCACATGGGTGGCTGTGATAGCAATACCTTTCCTTTCTGGTGATTCAATGTACACAAACTTTGCTTCATGCAGAAAATTATTAAAATATTGTGTATAAAATATTTCAGGTTATGTGTATATATTTAGACTTGAGTCCCATATCCAAGCTATCTCATTATGAACATACCGTATATACAAAAATAGGTATTCCAAGACCTGAAAAAGTCCCAAATATCTGGCTACCAGTATTTAAAAAAACTCTAAAATTAGGACAGTAAATAAAGAACAAAACTCAAAAACAGGGAAAATCCAGACATGAAACAATCAGGGCCAGCTAATCACTATCCAACAAAGGATTCCCCTACGCAGGAATCAGCCAGGCATTGAAGCTGCAAGGCTTTGCAATGCTAATCAAGGTGATTAATTTCAATATCCACACTTGCCTCCAACAGACAAGAGTTCTTTCTCCGACCCTGGACCCTCACAGATATATAAACCTCCCTTGCTTAGTTTCCAATATACCTCACAACCTCTGAGGATGCCTGCCATAAATGTGGATGAAACATCAGGAGAGAATGCTTCTGGAACATAGCTATAGAACCTGGAAAACTCACAGCACCCCAAGTCCCAAACGGTTTTGTTCTCAAGCATTTCAGATAAGGGATATTCAACCTGTAATTCTTGGACTATAATTCCCAGAATATCCCAGCCAACTAACCTGTGCTAGCTGAGAGTTCAGGAGTTATAGTCCAAAAAGTAGTTAATACTTCAATTGAAGGACAAAAAGAGAGAGAAACAGATAGCAATCCATCCCAGCCTCAGAGGCAATCAGCATTAGTCTTTTCTTGAAGCATAGTTAATGCCCTTTTCTTCAAACAGAGGTATATTCTAATAAACATATATGCCAACTCCATGTTTCCTTCTCTTTTTATTTAGGAGCAAGGCATTTTAAACACGCACCTTGTAAATGGCTGACAAGGAGGACTCATCAAAATCATATCAAAAGATAACTTGTTGAACTCCTTCAGTGATATTCCCTAAATAAAATAGAAAAGGCATTTTCTATTATGAACAGAATATTTCCAGAGGCAAAGATGGCAAGCATGACAGTTGTAGGCTGTTTGTTTCCTTGAATGTTTTTTATGTCTGGCAAGCAAAAAATATCAGTTAGAATCATCCAGTCCATTGTATTTCCAATTTCTATGTATGACTGTGAACATGGGACAGCAAAGATTGCTAACAGGAAGGAAATAAACTCAACTGAATTGTGGTGCTAAAGGACAGTTCTACTGACCTGCTCAAGAAGGCAAATGAATGCATATTGTTTTTATTTATTTATTTTATTTACTACATACCGTCCCTCTCAACCTGCAGGCGACTAGGGGTGGTTTGCAGTCGGTACCAAAACCATAAAATACAATTACAGTACAATTAAAAACATTAAGATCATATAAAATCATAGCATAGTCAATCTTAAGAGTAAATCAGATTCAACTCTCACTAGACCCCAAAATGGTTCTGTCATACTTTGGACATATTATGAAATTATGTGAACCACAAGAAGAGGAAATAAAATGTGGTACTGCTGAGCACAGTAAGAAGAAAGGGAGACCTGAATGGATTCAATCAAGGAAACAACTGCCTGAGTCTGAAAGACCTTACTAAGTCTACTAATAACAAGCTATCTTGTAGGTTTGATATTTTGGGGGTTCTCATAACTTTAAGACAACTTGAAGGCTGAAAAATATTCAAAAACATATCCATATATTCCTTGGTCATTGTCTGGACCAGTGGTCCTCCAACGTTGGTCCTTCAGATACTTTGGACTTCAAGTCCCAGAATTTCACCACCGGAGAAGATGGACAGGGCTTCTGGGAGTTGACCAAAGTTTGTGAACAACAGTTAGGGACCAAAGTTTGGAAACTGGCTCCAAAACTTACAATTTGAGATAAGGGAGAGGCATGAACTCAAAGGATGGTTTTGAACATATTTGATCTAGTTTTATTGGGTAGGGCTCTTCACCTCCCCAATGTAACTTTGGAGAAATTTTTGAATGGTGGATATAGTACTTTGGTGCTGCAATATGTGATCGCATAGTAGTTTTTCTTTGGCTGCTATATTATCACATCCTTGTTTAGTGTTGATGAAAATGACTATCCCTTTTTAAAATGTGCATTGGAAAGAAAATAAAACAACAACAGAAGAAGTAAAACAACACATGCAAGAGAACTGACTTCTTTTCTCTTTCTTTGCACATATTCTTCCTTTTCTTTAAGATTTCAAGACTATGGGCAGTGACTTAGTGGGTATATGCGAGCTTTTTTTCTGAATTATAATTTTATTCACATTCCATTGGTAGATTGACAAATGAGTGTTTGAAGGAGAGAGAGATGGATGGATGATAAATAGAGGATATAGAATGGGGTTGGACTGGATAGCTCTCATGGTTTCTTCCAACTCAATGAATCTATGTGTCTACCTTAAAATACAAAGATGCCTACAGATCCCAGATGTCTGTCAGTATCACAGCCATCCTCTAATAAGCACACATACAATGTACTTTGCTAAATTGCATTTATGGCTAGGTCCTGTCAGAGGGCCAGCCACTATAGTGATGTCAGCTGGAATGTGCACAGCCCAGGGTTTTAAGAGCTAATCACTTTAACAGAGCAGCCGGAATAACTCCAAAATGCTTCTAACTGAGATTAACAGGGCAAACCTGTTAACATTATAAAAATGATAAATAGGAAAAAATGTTTCAAAAACCTCCATGGATGCAACATTTGAATGCATAGAGGTAATTTAAGAGATAGCATTTGATGAGATAGCAATAAATTAAATTGAAAAGTTAGACAGATATCTGCTTACACATCAGGAGTTTCCCCACCCTTTCTCTTCCTGAAACCCCAGATCAACTGTAGAGGCTTAGTCAAGCTTTCAAATAGATGGGGAGGGCAGCCACACAGGAAGCTGCAAGGAGAAAGGAATTCAATTCCAAAGAATTGTCCATTCATTGGCTGAAAAATCCTACTAGATCCATCCCAGTGTTGAAATTATGCCTCACAAAAGTATAATCTAGCTACTTTCCTAAAAAGGAACAGTTCAACCTGTACAGTGTCCACAGAATGACACTAGATTTGTTCCAACATCTGCAACCTGCTCCTTCTTAACAAACTTCATTGCCTCTAAGAGTATATTCATACAAAGTACATACTCTGAAGCAGAACTACAGCACTATCCATCTCTCTTCATCTGCAAATTCCAGGAACTTCATGGCTTCATGGCAATAGTATTATTCAAAAGCTTCAAAGGCTTCTAGCTTCAGATAAATTAACACAGGCTGAAATCCTATACACTATTCCTAAGGAACATGTCCAATCAGACTCAGTAAAAGTGTCAAGGACAGAACAAACAACTCACTATGACAATTTTACTCACTAAGGTTCATTTCTACGCAACTTTCATTTCTAGGCTGTTATACTCATAAAACCTGATACAACTTAGATCCACACAAGACACTCCACCGTCACCTGTATTATTACAGAAAAATAAGCAAAAGATAGAAAATTTAATTGGAGGCCCTGCATCATCAGTCGTAACTACAACAACAAAGTTCCATTATCGTCACTATGGACCTCATCCCAAAGTGTGGGAAATTGTCTTCTAAGTTTGGCATTCAGTGACCTTCTGTTTCCAAAGAAAACATAATTTAACCATTGTTTTCATCCCACCTTAAGATGCCAGGTTTCAGCCCATTTCAGCTGTTTATTTGTGAAGTGAAAGCAGTGAAGTAGATTATTCCCCACCTACACAATGGTCCGTTTCTCTTCACTTTAAAGACAAAATCCACTTTGATGGGTTCCATGGGACTCTGTCTTTAAAGTGAAGAAAAATGATAAGATGACTCCGCACACTTCCGCCCCTTCCCTCCCACGGGATGAGGTTCCTTGTTTAGACTACCACCTTCACCAAAACCCCTACCTTTTCAGCCAAACAATTAGCAGTTTTTGGTGGTGCATCTACACAGGAAAATTAATGCAGTGTGACATCATTTGACTGCTGTGGCTCAATGCTATAGCATCATGGGTGTTGTAGTTTTACAATGTCTTTAGTCTGCAAAGAATGCTGGTGCCTCCCCAAAGAAATCCCAGGATTCCACAGAACTGAGCCATGGCAATTTTAGTGGTATCAAACTGCATTAATTTTACAGTGTAGATGTACCCTGAGACTTGATCAGGCTACTGGGAATGACATCTTTCACACTTTCCCGGACTGTGCAGAGAACAGGCTAACTGCTTCAACTAACATGCCTTCTGGCCAAGACAGAGTTAACATTTCCCATCATCTCTGTCTGCAGGACCTCAAAGACCCTTCATTTGCAGCACTGACTGCCTGAAAAAACAGATTTGGGAGATTACATTCAATCATTCAAAACTGTAAGTGTAAATCTCCAAAGATATAAGTTTGTACGTCCAGTCTACCTATTTATAACAACATTTATGGCTTTACCTTAAACCCAGAAAGGACCCAGCTAGTCAACCCAGAAGAGAAAACTTTAAAACAATTTCCAACTTTATGGTATCATGGGAAGCAAAACAAAAATGATGAGAACTGCAGTCTTTTACAAACAAACAGAAAGCGAAACTTATAACACAGATTTATATAATATAAACTCAGATTAATAAACCTCAAGGCAAACGTTGATTTACTTACCTCAATTGTCTTTGACCACAATGGTGTGGTGCGGAAATTGTGTGTGTAAACTTCATTGGCTACTGTGTTTACATCTACAGCTGCAACAATTTCTGCAGGTATACGACTGGCTGGAAACAATTGAGGAAACATTTAGTTTAGTTTAAAATATTACTGTTAAAGAAAGAAAGAAAGAAAGAAAGAAAGAAAGAAAGAAAGAAAGAAAGAAAGAAAGAAAGAAAGAAAGAAAGGATTCATTTACTTTAGACAAAACTGGGCTCATCTATATCTTCAAATAAAATTACTAGCCATAAGTTGTAGGGTACAGAAAATCAGGGATCTAGAGCCACAAAAAAAACCTTCAAGCCTTTGACAATACAACTTCAAGTCACCTCTTCCAAGCTGTGGGGCTTTGAGGGTTTTGAGGTCACATTCACCCAGCAAGCAAAAGCTGCTGAAGTTTAGCTATGTCTGATGACTTTAATTTCCCTGAAACTGAACATATCTCTGTGGAACTTGATTCTGTTTATCACTTGGCTCAAAAGGGTCAGTAAAGCTGGCCTTGAACTTGAGTCACATATACGCAGGTGTTTGCTGAGATATCGACAGAGACGGGTGACAGCCACATCCTTGAAGTACGAGTATGTTTGGGTTTGTCTCTGTCTCAAAGAACATTTTCAGGGGCAAAATAAAAATATCAGCACAGTGCAAAGGCTGCTGGGACCCTTTATCAGTAACATCTCTATTTGAAAAATGTAATGCAAGAAGGAAGGAAAAGAAAGAAGGAAAAGAAAAGAAAGAAGGGGGGGAGAGGAAAAGCCTCCTAAACATTTTCTGAAGGCACAGAGACATTTCCACAGTGCTTTTTAACAAGAGGAAATGAGGGAAAGTCACTTACTGTTTCAAAAAAGACATCTCTGTGGCTACAGAAATCATGGTGGAAATCCCCCCCCACACACACACACACATAATCTGGAGCTAAAAAATTATTTAAAGCTTAGACCAATCTTCCGTCAGCTTGCCCTGCCTTACAGGGTTGTTGCAAAGATAAAGTAGAAATGTTGTTATAAAGATAAAGCAGTAAGAGAGTTACATACATCATATTTGACCTCCTTGGAGATGCCACACCGTATAAAAAGATGCACATAAAGAAAATAAGAAATAATGATGGTTATGTACCATCCATATGCAATCAAAACAATGTCCTTGACGTGACAGTGGGAGACTTTTGAATGCCTGGGAAAACCCCAACAACTACAAAAGCTATTTAGAAGGGAAGGTGAGGGGCAAATGTCATCTGATCAGGGTTATTTGTGTGTCCTGAACATTTCCAAATAGCCCCTTCTCAGGCCAAAGAAAAAGGTGTTCACTGCCACACCTGGAAACCTCCCTATGCATTGTCAGACATTAAAATAATATTTTAAAACAGAGGTCACTTGTGGATTATTTCAGTTTGCTTGGGGTATTTTTGGCAACTCCAGGGGATGCTAGAGTCAGACAACTGATCCCAAACTTACCATACACCACCACCTAAAACAACTAAAGTGAAAATGTGCCCAATGAGAGCTTGATGAACATGCTATTGTTCCACTTTAACTGCTATGACAGTGGTTCTCAACTTGTGGGTCGCCAGATGTTTTAACCTTCAACTCCCAAAAATCCTAACAGCTGGTAAATTGACTGGGATTTGGGGGAGTTGTAGGCCACTGCACTATGTTGAGAACCACTGCACTATGGCAATCCCATGTCACCCTGAGATTTGCAGTTTAGGAAGGAGCATTTATCATTCTCATCTAAAGACCTCCCTGAATGCAGCCACTGAAGTTAAAGTACAATAAAGATATCTGGTGGGGTTTGGTTCCAGGGTCTCCCTGTGGATACCAATAAATAGAGATGCTCAAGTCTCCTTATACAGCACAGTTACATTGTGTCCCTTTTCTAAAATGGCAAATCAAGATTTGCCTTTTGTAGGTTAAAAATATTTTGAGTTATGGATGGTTGGAGCTGTGGCTATGGAGAGCCAACTTTATCATGATGGTGACTTTATTGTATTGTATGAAAGGGCCCCAGGACTGAATGGCCACAGAGTGTAGCTTTAATGTTGGTGGGCAGATGGTTGGAGAGTTAGTGAAATGAAACTACATGGTTAGAATGGTGAACTGGCCAATACTGTGATACTTCCTATTGCTGACAATAGCAACTGCTTGTTATCTGGTCATGCATTTTTGTTGTGGTCGTGAAACTGCCACATCACATGAGCAGCACATGGATTATCATGGGTAGAAGAAGGAAGAGACAAACAGGATGGGAAAGCTCCATACAAGTCTGGGCTTACTCTGCTTTAACTGTGTGTTGGATCATGCCCTCCCTCTGCTTGCTCTGGAGCAAAAAAGACTTGCATTTCATTGTTACCACCCCAAGTGTGGAGAAGTTGCTTCTTTGGAATATAACTTCCAGAATAGTCCAACCAGCATTGAACAAACATTTACTGTTAAGACTTTTTCCATAGGCGCTGGACATCTTTAATAGTAGCAGATGTCCCCACACTACTTGAAGTTTCTTTTTCCTAGCACAGAAACACCTACCTATAAAAGTTTCATGTGTTGTGCTGACCTTCTGGACTATTGTTAGAGAGCTAATAAAACAGTGGAAATCAATGGTATAGTGGAAACAGGCATGTAAGTCTGAAGCCATGGATAATGATGTCAGATGCCAATGCCTCACCTCAGACTTTCCTGTTCTTTTTGAGTTTAACTGCAAACCAGCAACAGCTAGAGGGGAAATGAACTTTCCTAGCAACAGAAAAAGGTTATGAGCTATCCTTATTGTAATCCAAAGTGCTTTTGAGGCTGTTTAGTAAACTGGTAAACCACAAAATCTTATAAAAGACCTGATCTTGATGGAGATTAAAATTGTTAGAATTGGTTTTAGATCAGCATAGCCTCTTGTATTTTTGGGAGTTTCCTCCAGGGAAACTTTACCTCAAGGTGATAGATTTGCTGAGGGCATTGACTTCAAAATTTATTGAACACCCATAACTAAAACTAAAACAAGAAAGAAAATTATTGCAGGTTCCTCATGACACATGACGTCCAAATCTGTCACTCCTTTCCACCGGTCACTAAGGAGGCTGTCCAGACCTTGAACCGGTGCTTGGCTGCTGTGTCGGACTGGATGAGGGCTAACAAATTGAAATTGAATCCAGACAAGACAGAGGTCCTTCTGGTCAGTCGAAAGGCCAAACAGGGCATAGGGTTACAGCCTGTGTTGGATGGGGTTACACTCCCCCTGAAGACGCAGGTTCGCAGCTTGGAAGTGATCCTGGATTCATCACTGAGCCTGGAACCTCAGGTTTCAGAGGTGGCCAGGGGAGCTTTTGCAGTTAAAACTTGTGTGCCAGCTGCGCCCGTACCTTGGGAAGTCTGATCTGGCTACGGTCGTCCATGCTCTGGTTACATCCCGAATAGATTACTGCAATGCACTCTACGTGGGCTGCCTTTGAAGAACTGTTTGGAAACTTCAGCTAGTCCAACAGGCGGCAGCCAGATTACTAACTGGGGTGAATACAGGGAGCATACCACCCCCCCCCCCCGCTATGTCAGCTCCACTGGCTGCTGGTCCATCTCCAAGCCCAATTCAAAGTGCTGGTTTTGACCTATAAAGCTCTATACCGTTCTGGCCCAGCTTACTTGTCTGGGCCTACAACTCCCAGAAATCCCAGCCAATTTACCAGCTGTTAGGATTTCTGGGAGTTGAAGGCCAAAAACATCTGGGGACTCCAGGTTAAGAACCACTGCTCTATACGGCTCTGGCCCAGCTTACTTGTCCGTATGCATCCACCCCTACATCCCACCTCATAATCTAAGATCATCCGGGGAGGTCCTGCTCTCACTCCCGTCAACATCACAAATACGTCTGGCGGGGTCAAGAGACAGGGCCTTTTCGGCTGTGCCCCCCATCCCCCGCCTATGGAACACACTCCCAAATGAGGTAAGATCGGCTTCTTCCCTCCTGGCTTTCAGAAAGAAATTAAAATCGTGGTTTTGGGACCAGGCTTTCGGACAATAGATATAAGTAGCACTTTAGATGGACATTGACTGGAACGGCGATACGGCTTATGAGACTGTTTTTACTGTTTTTAATGATTGCTTATGTTTTGTTTTAATTATGATTTATGTTCAATTGTGGTTTTATTATTGTAATTGTTATGTAGCGGCATCATATTGGTGCCTACTGTAAGCCATCCCGAGTCCCCCTTCGGGGGTAGAGAAGTGACGGGGTAGAAATACCAAAAATAAATAATAATAAATAAATACATTTTGGGGTGATTACTGTATATACTCGAGTATAAGCTGAGTTTTTCAGCCCTTTTTTAGGCTGAAAAAGCCCCCCTCAGCTTATACTTGAGTCAAAGTTATTTATTATTTTACTCTGTTGTTGTTATTATTATTATTACATTGATTATTTTACTCTATTTATTATTATTATATTTACATTATTTTATTATATTTACATTTATATTTTTACTCTATTTATTACTGTTATTATTACATTAATTATTTTACTCCATTCATTATGGTTATTATTACATTTATTATTTTACTCTATTATTATTATTGGAAGGATACTTAACCACATCTACATTGATGAAAGTTAGAATAATGATTTAATCAGAGTTGCACAGACTTATCTTAAATTACAGTTTTATGTAAATATTCAAAAACATTTAACCTATCGATGCCTCAATTAATGTATTTGTATTGGTATCTATTTTTATTTTGAAGTTTACCAGTGGCTGCTGCATTTTCCACACTCGTCTTAAACTCAAGTCCAATACGTTTTCCCAGTTTTTTGTAGTAGAATTAGGTGCCTTGGCTTATATTCAGATCAGCTTATATTTGAGTATATATAGTGGTGCAAAAGCTTTGCTTTAATAAATCTGTTCAAAATAAGCAATTTTATTGCCTTCAATAATATTCTAGACGAGTAGTATTAATCGTACTTTGTACCTGTGTTAATCCCAGGTATACAAGTTCTGCACTACACAAAAAACAAATACCTGAGATGAAGAATCAGGTAAGTTAACACTGACACCTAGCGTGGGGTAAATAAGGCAACCTCAACAGAACAA